AAACTCTTAATATAATAATATAATAAATTTATAAAAAATTAATTAATTTTTATAATATTATAACTTTTAAAATTAAGTAATAATTTAATAAAAGTATAAAGTTTTTATAATAATAATATAAAAAAATATATTATTAAGCTAATAAATATAAAAAGATTTACTAATATTAGTACTATATATTAATATTACTTTTTATAATAGCTTATAAGGCTTATAGCTATAAGCCTTATAGCTTTTTTATAATAGCTTTATTATAACTATTCTTTCTTTTTATAAGCTAAGTCTTTATAGCTATTATAGCTTATAAAACTTTTTAATTTAAGACTTTTATAATACTTTTTATATTATAAGGCTAAAGTAATAATAGCTAATATAAACTTTTAAAGCTTTAACTTTTTTATAAGCCTAATATAAAAGAACTAGGCTTTAATTATACTTTATATTAAATTTAAACTTATAACTTTTAAAAGACTTATATAATATTAATATAATTATAATAATAATATAAAAGGGTATATTATTAAGCTAATAAATATAAAAAGATTTACTAATATTAGTATTATATATTAATATTATTTTTTATAATAACTTATAAAGCTTATAGCTTATTAAAGCTAGTATATAATATAAGAAAGTAAAAAAAAAAGAGAATAATTAAAGTTATAAAAAGTTAGTATATAGTTATTAATTATTACTAAGTAGTTTAAAAGTTAATTATATAATTACTTTTAAAAGTAAGTATTTATAAGTAACTATATTTATTTTTAAACCTTTTTAAAATAAAGGGATAGTTTACTTTTTTTATAATTATAATAATATTATAAAGTTATAAGCACTTTATACTAAAGTTATTATAACTTTATATATATTTAATTTAACTTTATATTAAACTCCTTTTAAAAACTATGCCTTTTTATAAAAACTATATACTATACTCTTAATATAGCTATAAGCCTTATAGCTTTTTTATAATAGCTTTATTATAGTTTTTTTTTAAAAATTAAACTTATATTAAAAAAATATAATTATAAAATTAAATAGTTTTTAATAATAAAAATAATATAATAATTAAATTAAAAAATAAACTTAAAAACTAATTATATTATTAAAAAATATTATAATCTTTTATAATAAATAAGTTTATAACTTAAAATAGTTTATTAATAGTAATTTTATAATAAAAATATACTTAATTATTTAAGGAGATTAGCTTTAAAAAATATTTAATAAAAAAACTTTATATTAAAAATAAAAGTCTTAATATAAAAAGTATTTTTATAATAAATTTAAAAAGTTAATTTAAATATAAATATAAATAAAAGCTATATATTATTATATAAAAATAAATAAATAAATAAATAAGTAAATAAATAAAAAAATAAATATATAATAAAGCTATTATAAAAAAGCTATAAAGCTTATAATTATATACTTTATAAGCTATTATAAAAGGCAGTGCTTAATATATAATACTAGTATTAATAAATCTTTTTATAAAAGCTTTTAATATAATAGTATACCTTTTTATATTATTATAATTTTACTAGTATTATAATTTAGTATAAGATATAGTTAAAGCCTAGTTCTTTTATATTAAGCTTATAAGGCAGTTAATTACCTTAAGGGTTTATATTAGCTATTATTACTTTAATATAAAGAGTGCTATAACTTAAGTTAAAGGGTTTTATAAGCTATAATAGCTGCAAGGACTTAGCTTATAAAAAGGGAGGATAGTTATAATAAAGCTGCTATAAAAAAGCTATAAGGCCTATAGCTATAGGCCTTATAAGCTATTATAAAAAGCAGTGCTTAATATATAATACTAGTATTAATAAATCTTCTTATAAAAGCTATTAATATAGTAATATATCTTTTATATTATTATAAAATAATAAATTATATAAAATTTAAATATAAATATAATAATTATTAAAATATTTAATTAAATAAATATAAATTATATATATTAATATTAATATTAGTTTAATAATATAAAGAGTTAATTTATATATTATAATTTATATTTAATTTTATTAAAAAACTTATTTTAAAACTTATTTTAAATTTATTACTTAAGTAAAATAAGTATAATTTAATTAAAGCCTAAATAAATTATAAAATTATAATTATAATTTTATTATATTTATATATATAATATTTATTTTAAAATATTATTTTAAAATATTAATTTATATATATATATAATAATAAAATAATAAATATAAATTTAGTTTTTATTTTTATTTTTAAAAAAGTAAATACCTTATAGCTTAGCTATTTACTTAAATAATATATATATATATATATATATATTATAATATAAAATTTTAAAATAAATTATTTATATTATAAAATACTTAAATATATATTTATTATTTAATATATATAACTATATATATAATATATAATAAGTTATATAATAATTAACTTCTTTAATTAGTAATTATTTCTAGTTATAAAATAGGGAATAAATAATACTTACCTCTATTAACCTCTCTGTTAAATCGAAACACTCGCGCCGAATCTCTTCTCCGAGGTCCTGAGAGGAGAACCGCCACAGCCCCGTAAAGCCCATCTCATGAAGCGCGTCTACCAGCGGGCGCATAGAGGTCATCTTGTCCTGGAAGTTTGCGTCGGAGGCAATGGTACGCAGTAGAGCGTTGGCGGCCTTTAGAGCGCTTGTGTCTTGGCTATGTGACAGTACCTCCTCTATCAACGGTGGTATTGCGCCGCATCTTTGTGACATTCATTAGTTCACCATCTCACGCACCGACGCAGCAGAGGTATACTTACAGTTGTTCAAAGACCAAGGGCCGCTGCAGGGCCAGCTCATTCAGCCATTGCAGGCTCCGGACCTGTACTCGCTCTTCAAGGTACTGGAAGTCAACCAGTTCGATAGCGGAGATGAGCAACAAGTCTCTGTCCCTTACATTATCCATCCGTTGGCGACCGGTGAGCGTCGTGATGTTGCCAGCCTCCTCCGAACCCACTCCAGCTATCCAGAGACCCTCCCTGTAGTCCTCGGGGAGCACGCCCCGTGCCGAGATCAAGGCAAGATACGGTAAAGAATCTGTCGTGGGATCGTTCTTGGCCGCGGGCGGTACAGTGGTTGCATTGGCAATCTCCACAAACGAGGATAGGACGCGGATCGCCGTTGGGCGCGTTGAAGTATCAGTGAGTCCGCGAACCAGGTAAGCGCAGACCGCGAAGTGAAAGCTCTCGTGATCGAAATGGACCCCGTAGGCATCATCCAGCGGCAATGCGGCCTCTTCGAGCTGGCCACGGCTTTGCAAAAGAAGTGGAACAAACTTCTCCCCCGTAGCACTGCAGACGGCGCCGATGTTGGTCAGAACTGCCTCAAGGAATTGGGCTGTGCAGTTGAAGAGAGAGATGGGGACAAGCCGGACGAGAGACATGGCCAGCCAGAATAGCTGAAGACCGTAGCGAGAGGACGAGGGGAGCTTGATCATCATCTTGGACAGCGATGTCACGATAGAGATCAGCATTTCGCTGTTCCCGTCTTCGCCAAACTGACCGATGCTATTGCGCAAGGCGACGAGCACTTGGTATAGCAGGTCGTCGTCCACCTCTTCTCGAGCAAGGTATCCCATTACTGCAAAAGCCCTCGGCTGCACAGCCGGGTTGTTCTGGAAGGCGGTGCTGGCAACCAGGCTCATCCAGCGTGACCTCCAACTGTTCGCCAGGTCCACCGAAGGAGCTGCAATGGAGCATATGTCAAAGAGAATGACAGTCAAGTTCTCAGTTGCTGCCAGTGCCGAGCTTGAGTCGTGTGCAGTGGAAACGGAGGCACCATCGCGCATGGGAGACGTCGTCAAAGAGAACGCCTCTCCTCGGGGTTCGCAGAGAATGTCAAGGCTTGCTTTCAGCTTGGTAAGCTTTGCCTCGTCCAAGTTGAACGCCGTGCACACTGAATGGACCGAATTGATCAAGAGCTTGTACACGAGAGAACGAACGCCGTTGTCTCCCGTGTTTGCCAGCATCGTGACAATGTGGAAGATTTCAGGCAAGAATAGCCGAGATTGAACACCGCTGTCGAATGACAGGGCAACGCAGAATTGCAGAAGAACGCAAATCTCGGACCAGACTGGGCTGTCCTGCAGATATCTGGTCGGTCTCAGTGATGAGCGATTGAGAGTCTTGCGTAGCCGGGAGAATATTCTCCCCCGAATGGTGACGGTACCAATACCAGTGACGACAGGTGCAATGACATCCAGAGACTCTTCATGAGCCCCATAGCTCAGAGCAGTCTTGATGAGCTCGTCGAGGAATATGTCGAGGAGCAGCTCGTCATTTGTAATGGATGGTAGAACAAAGTGTTGAAGAGGATAGACGAGATGTTGGTCAAGAACGATAACGTCAATCATCTTTCTCAAAAGCGTCGCGACCTTTTCTCGTCCCTTTTCGCTGTCTTGTTCGCTTGTCAAGATGTTCGTGCGAAGGCCACCAAGCCACGGTGACATATAGGCCAGGCTGAGCGGCCTTTGCTCTTCAGGGAAGCTTTCCCATCCAACGAAGAACTCCGTCAAGAAATCAGATGTCAGCTGTGGCTGCGTGCTTGCCAGGATTCTGCTCATTTCAACCACAAATTTTGTGGGATCCATGGGAATTGAAATGTCTAGTGCAGACAATTAGCATTGGCAAATAGATATGGTCGATGTGATTCGACTTGAGCTGGCCGGAGATCCTTACCTTTTGCACATGACAATCTGGAATCTGCGCTGAATTTAAAGGCCCTGCAGAGTGCTCCTAGCAAATTGTATGATGCCAATCTCAGAGCGCGATCTGGACTCAAAAGGTTGGTGAAGGCGAGGTTGAGCAATGTCCCCGGCACGTCTTGGGGACGCATAAGCCTCTCAAACGGCTTGTAGGTGCGATTCTCCTTTCCATGCTTGCTCTTGGCGCTGCGGATGGTCTGGAGCACGTCGGCCTTCTTTGGGCTGGAGAAGTACATCACAATCTTCCCACCATCCGCGCGAAGGCCAAAGGACGAGTCATCCTCTGACTGCAGTGTTGTCGTTGCTTCCTCCACGTCCCCTAGCCGGAATATGTCATTGACAGTGGTACTAAGACGGAGACCAGACAAGACCTCCTGTTTCTTGGTCGTCGTTACTTGGACAAACTGGCTTCCGACCTTGATCGCGACATCTACCTTTCCCTTTGACTTGGAAAGCCTCGTCACGGGCTGGAACATGTAGCGGGTATCTGTGACGACGCTGATAGTTTCTTTGGGAAGATGGAGCTGACTGAGGTGGAAATGAGCCTGAAGATCCTGGAGGCTTCCTATCAGGTGGTAATCCACGTTTCTCGGATGGAAAGCACTGCTGTCGCTCCTTGTAGAAACCCGCAAAAGGTGCCGAAAGCATCTCCTGCACGCACTGCGTCAGTGACGATAGCGACATTGGAGATCTGGGATATAGCAAACCTGAAAGCGCTGTTCATATTGTAAACGTAGACCCTGGTGAGATTGAGCGTCAGCTCTGAGGGGGTGAGGAGATCTAGCATCTTAAAGAAGTCGTCCTGGGGATCGTTCCGTCCATTGTAGCATGTAGCGTCTATAAAGAGCCCAAAGGGTTCATGCCAAAGCCTGCTAGCGATCTGGTCGAGCGCATTAGTATCATTCCCTTTGGCTCGTTACTCTAAGATTAAAGGCTAATCATGGCAAATGAGAGGTTTTGATGCGACGCACCACTTAGGCCAACAGCAACGGATATGGCATGTCTTGGGAAAAAGGGAGGGAAAAAGGGGGGCGGGGGCAAGAGGCAAGGACTGACCTTGAGATAGCAGTAAAGCATGGTGTCATAGTCGATGTTATCAGCCTCGATGTGCCGTAGGATTATGCAGATGATTGAGAGTCCATCCTGGAGGTGAAGGCTTAGCGTATGCTCATGTACATCTCGAGGCCTGGATTGGGCTCTGATGGGAAGTTGACAATATGCCTTACCTTGCTTTCGCCACCGTCATACACCGCACGCGACGTTAAATAAGATTCCGTGCCACGGAAGGCGTTCCTAAGCATGAAGTTCTGGAATCGAGAATACAAGGGCGGGCTATTCGTTGAGATCTGTGGGCGGTTCCATGATATGGCCAAGGGGGGTGGGCCAAGATTTGCAATGAGATTTCGCAGAGGTTCCATGGTGGGCGACCGGCCATGGGCATGCTCTGCAGGAGATCTGACATATTCTCTCCTGTCTTTGGCAACGAGGATCTGCTGAAGGTGATCCCAGTGGTCATAGAGGAAGCGATGCAACGCCACGCACGAGCCAAAATCAATGGCCTTTCTGTTACTATTGCTTTCGATGTGACTCGGCGGGATCTAACCAGCAGTTAGCTCGTCCTTCTGTAAGAAGGGAATAAGGGGGGAACAAAAGGAACTGAAAACGGAGGAGAATGGAGAGTATACACTCACTGATATCTCACGCAGGAATCCCATGACGACGTGAATGTTCTGTACTAGGAAGAGGTTGAGTGGGAACATGTAGGGCTCTTTTGTTCCGAAGAGGACATTGTTGGCCAAGTTTTGGATAATCTTCGCAATGAGCAGCAGTCCTCGCCGCATTTCCTTTGATGGCGGCGTTGGCACGAGCCCCTCGACTTCTGGAGCAACTATTGCGGGACAGAAGAACCGGAGGAAGATGAATGCGCCGACAGCAGTGTATTTGGCGTTGGGAAACCGATGTAAAACGGCGTCTGAAATCTTCAGGGAACGTGAGCGACACTACTCGACCAGCCAAAAGAAGACCATGGGGGACTCACTATGCTGCAAATCTTCCTGAAGGAAGGGGGAATATTGGCAGCAGATGCGCAGATATCGTCCATGAAAACTTTGGCAACTATCTGAAGCTGAAGCGCATTCTTTTGCAATTCTTCCTGAGTGCCGACTCGGGTCGGATCGAGCTCCAAATCCAAGTCTTGCGACGTGAGCATGAGGCGTTCGAGGACCTTATGGAGAGTTCCCTGCAAGTAAGCAAAACCTTTCCATCTCGCATAGACAGACAGCATCTTGGTCGCAACGCAGTTTCGACGTAGAATCTCCGTCTCGTTTTCTAAGCATGAGTTAGCCACAGGTCGTTTTCTGACCTTTCTCAGGGGCTCCAACAAGTCAAGGAGTGAACATGACTCACCAGTTTGCTCGATTTCTGCTCGGATAAGTGACTCAAACAACTCGAATATGAGGCCTCGCTGCTCGAACACTGTCAAAAGACAGATGGTAAGTTCATCGACTTCCGTGCTTGGACATATCGCACTCATCGAAGCAGGCAGCGATAAATCTTTTGTAAGCAGCTTGACCCGGAGTGTTAGCCTCTCCCAAAATGTTCAGGCAAAGGAAGGTGAATTAACTAACCTCCAAGAGCTCCTCGTACTTCTTACTGACAGCCGAGTCTGTCAGATTGCTGAACTCAGTCCCCTGGACGAGTATGTTGTAGAGAACTTTGACGAATGCAGTCCGTATCTCAACATTGTCGTGGTATCCGATATTGATGGAATGCTTGAGGCCAACATCGATGTTGGCGCTCAGCAGATTAGAGAGGATGGTGATTGCCAAGTCTGAATTGGAGACCACCTCATCCCGGCCAACCAGAGTGGTAGAAAGGTCTGACCTACTTGTTTCAGCAGACTCACTGTTCAAGAGAGAAAGGAACCGATTAAAGTAGTTGTGGAACATCTGAGACTTCATCTCGCTCATTCCCACGTCTGACTGACTGTCAGCGGGCTGCAGCGGCAGACGGAAGGTGAGATCTGCAAGGGATCGCAAACAGGCTTTGTCGAGGTCCTTTTGAACCCTGTTCAGATCGTCTGGCTTTCCCCCTATGCCGGCCTGGTCCGCGTGTGGTGACCGTGGTCGATCTATCCAGCCAATGGTGTACTCGAGGAGCTGGTTCCGAATATGCACGTCATCACGAAGATTCAAATGCTCCTTTCGCTTCGTCACAGCCTCGCATAATTGACAGACCCTTATCTTGACCCGTAGCGTATTCGCGGTATCGGCGATGCCGTCGATGAATTTGGCAAAGTTCAGCGTCATTAGGCCTAGGTGAACAGACGAGGCTGCGCCCAAGTCGGCTGGAATCTCCAGTCTTTCGACCAATGTCTTCAACAGCGAAGCGGCCTGCTCTGCGAAGATTATATCTGTCTCCTGAGCCTTGTCTGCCGGAGAAAGGACACCGGCAAAGAGCACGTCCAATTCTGACTCGAGAGCTTTGAACAAGGCGGGATAGAGGACTGATGATACTTCGCTTGAGAGGATCTCGCGCATAGCCTCACGAACCCTGACGTTTGCGCACGCCAGGAGCTGGATTGCTGACTTGAGATAGCGTTTGAGAGACGACTCTTCGGGCTGCTCAGACAAGGATCGATCGATCCACTTCAGATTCTGCAGAGACGGTTCCTCCAAGATGATGGGCTGGTCGGCAGTGCAAACACCCCCAAGAGAGGCGAGGAATCCTGATAAGTTTCGCCACTCTGATAGCAGTCGATCGTCGACAGAGTTGGGATGCAGCGTCGAGACCTTTTGAACCAAGTATATCCAGCGTTCGAACGCGAGTTCCCAAGCTTCCAGTATGCCTGACGTGGGAAATTGTATGCGACGCAAGAGGTTTCGAATGCGTTTCTGAAAGGCGACCAATCCGGTGAAGCGGAAAGCTGGCGAGGCAATCTCACGGAAAATATCGCCGTTACGGAGGACCGAAGCTGAGGACTTGATGGCTTCTGAGGACTCGCTGATACAAGAGCACTCTGCCACGAAGAGACCAATACAGGAAGTCACCAGCTGACAGACGTCGACGTCCGCGGAGCAGAGAGACACCAGAAGGACGGTTTCCAATTTGGACGAAGCTGCTGCCATGTCAGGCAGCTCCTTGGAAAGGCGAGTCAACTCCTATAGAGATGGAAACCCATGACTTAGCGAGGATGAAGCCGGATAAGCAGAGACAGTACGCCGATAAGCATCTTACCGGTATGTTTCTCAGCAGTGTGAGACGGGCTTTGAGGTAATCGCGCATCGTCGTCAACTCGGACAGTCTGGGGTGAACCATTCGGTCACATAGCTCTAATAGAACCTTGGAGCTGAAGAAGCGGCATTAGTCGACGCCGGCTATCGCACGAGGGCCTCATCGTACCTTCGAGTCCAGAACGTCTCCCGCAGCTCAACGATATCGGGATGGCTTTGCTCGTTGAAGGACTTGACAGCATCTGGGTGTTCCGCAAAGAGCCTCTCCGCAACTTCGGTTGCCGTCTGGCAAATCGTCTTGTTGGATGAGATGACCGTGAACATGAACGGCCCCAGGGTATCAATCGTTTGCGTCTGACGATTCAACTCATTCAACAGAGGCGTGGGCAGAGCGCCGAGAAACTTGAGGATGCTGCGCGCCATGTTTATGGTCTCGTTACCGAGATTGGCCGCCGAATCCCACGACACAGCTACACAAGTCTAACACCAATCAGCATCACCACGGGCCGGAGAAGTTAGAACTTTCGTGTGGCAAACCTTGAGCTGTGACTGAATGAAGGGGAGCGCCTCGTTGAAGAGTTCATTATATCTGGAAGCGTCTGGCTGGTTCGCAAGATGGCAGCAGGCTTGGATGACAGCGACTTTGAAACTATGCGGCGACGAAGGCGAGATACAGGTATCAAGGACAGTATCAATACACACGTCCAGGTTCAGATGCGCTAGAGTAATGAAGGCGGCAGTAATCATATTCTGGTCAAAGTGGGCAGAGGGTGAGCTGGTCGCGGAATGGCGAAACACTGCGTCCCGAACCTCGTCCTGCACGTCCATGGCATAACTGACGAGGGCCGAGTCGCTTTCCGCGCTGAAATGCCGCGCCGCACGAAGCAGGGAGATGACACAGTATCCAGCCTGCTCGTTCCCGTTCCTCATGCTTTTACGCAGCCCATCCAGGAACGACACCTTCTTCATGATATTGTTGCTCTTGGCCTCCCTCATGTTACTAGCGACCTCGAACACGTCAGGCATGAGGAAGAGAAGGGTGGTCTGGAGAGGGAAGAAGAGAGCCTTGCGTCTAGCATTGTCAGTCACGGTATGGGTCATGTCGAAGAGAGTATCCGCGCCTCCGTCAAGCCGCCTATGTAGACGGTGAAGACGGACAAACTCCTGCGGATATCGATCGATCCACCGAGCGATCAGCAGCGGCATGGTCGCAGCGACGGTGTTCTGGTATGCTTTGCGGAAGTGGAGGAAGCTTGAGCATATCTCCTGGATGATGAGGCCAAGCCTGGCGCCGTCAACCCAGAAAGAGGAAACCAGCCGCACGACGATGAGCGAGCCTCTGCCTGGATCCGGGGAGCTCCAAGTCTCCGCGTTTGCATCCGCCGCTGCGGAGACGCGGACATTGTATATGACATCCCTGAGGTAGCTAAACGAATCCGACCAACTGGAGGCCGTGACATATCCCATGAGTGTTCTGACGGGCGCTTCGACTTGGTCGAGATACGATGCAAGGCGGCTCTCGGCCTCGCGCTGTTCGCTGTGGGCATCCTGCGGCGCCTCGCCCCCGATGCTCTGATCCAGAAGCACATGCGCCGAGAGCATGTAGTTGTCGGAGATGGGTTCCAGCAGGTCCTTGAGGGCGTCGAAGATCCGGCCGACAAGCCGCTCGCCCAGGGGGTTAGACGGCAAGGTTATCTCCTTGTCGGCAGAAGCGGGCTGCGCACTCCAATTGGCAGAGCAGCAGTCTGCCGCCAAGCTCAGCACGAAGAGCTCCGACGACAGCACATGGCTGGGATGATCCGAGACGGCACTGTAGGGGCGCGCGAGCTCCTCGAGCAGTCCCACCAGCGACTCCAGTATGATGCCAATGGACGCCTTGCTCAGATCGACGAGCGTCGACCTCGTGATGTGCAGCACTTCATCCTCCAGGGGGCTTTGGCTGCTCGTTCCGGTGACGTGCGGTAGCTGCGATGCCCAAAGGGCTTATACGTTAGCCAGGGCCGTCCGCAGCGGTCGGATAGGGTGCAATTGACACGGATCGATGCTTTGCTTACCCTGCTGGATAGCCGCTCAACCAGGCAGGCGACCAGGCTCGAATCCCCAGACATGGCGGCGATCTGAGGATGTCGGAACGAGCTCGTTGGGAGTGGATGAGGCCATGATGGAAGCCCAGGGCCTGGACGTGCAGCGCGGGGTACTTTCTCTCATGTACCTTCCATACCTTTTCGTAGCGCGACCCCTGGATTGGATTGGAGATTCTGGCCCCCAGCCTGTACCTTGACTTGACTAAGGTAGGTAGGTATTGCAACTACTACAGTACTACAGCAGCTCCAGTTAGCGGTTCGATATCCCGAGGTCCGCTAAAATGAGGTGGACAACCGGGCTACTAGTATCATCAACGTCTTAGTACTAGGTGGAGGTAGTAGTACTAGGAGTAGGCACTCCAGCTACCTCTGCTAAGGTACTACTAACATCAAACCCACCAAGGGAGAGACGCTAGGTACCTCCAACGAGGTACCAACCTAGAGGTAAGCTGCTACAGCCAGCTTCAAGCCTGTCACCAGGATACATACATACTCATAGTAGTCCGCCTATCGAACCTCATTCCTCCTGGTACCGACCTCTTCATCCCACTTACTGCTCGAGGAGAGCCAAGAGCTGGCCTGTCCTTGACCCTCTTCTTCCCTTCTCCTTCTCTCTCTTCTTCTCTCTCTTCCTTTCTTTCTTCTCGCGGAGCCGCTATGCAACAATGCCGCCTCGTAGGCACGGGGCTCTAGACGACTACACGTCTGCTGTGCCTCAAGTATGTCAACCACCGCCCCAAGTGATGTGCTGCTACTCTTGTCTCATGGGCCAGCCTAACCAGAGTCGTAGATCATCTTGTCAACATCTGACTCCGACTACCTCGACCACCTCATCCCCGTGCTCAAGGATGCCACCAACTCGCGACGAACGCCGGCGCTGCTGCAGTCCCTGTCCCGCTACTCCGAGGATCGCGAGGCAGACATTGAGCGGATCGGATTGACCAAGCACGAGGAGTTCCTCGACTCGGTTCACAGACTGCAAGAGGTCCGCGAAGGCACTGTGAACCTCACCACCGAGATCCTCAAGCTCAACCAGTCGATCCAAGCAAGCACCGAGAAGCTTGCTGACCAAAAGGGCGCCCTTGTCAATACAAAGGCTGTGCGCCAGAACATCGCAGACGCGGCGGATGCCCTTCGAGAGTCCCTTACGGTGCTGCATGCCGTCAACCACTCCCACGAGCTTGTACGCCGCAAGAAGTACTACTCGGCCCTCAAGTCGCTGCAGGACCTGCAGAATGAGCATCTCGTCCCGATCCTCCAGAACCGATATGCGACCCAGCACCGCCTGGCAGATGCGATTCAGAAATCTCTCCCCGCTTCTCGGCGAGCCATATCGGAAGCGGTAATGTCTGACCTCAACACGTGGCTTTACCGAATCCGCGAGACTTCACAGTTTCTCGGCGAAGTCGCATTCTATCATACCGAGATGCGCAGATCCAGGCAACGGGCGCGGATTGAGAACGAGAAGTTCTTGGAGAACTTTAAGCTGAACTCGTCCATTGAGCTCATCTCTGATGAAAACGAAGAGTTTGACGTCTTAGACAATGAGGAGCTTCAGGTCGACTTCACGCCCTTGTTCGAGGCTCTGCACATCCACGATGCTCTCGGGCATAGCGACCGTTTTCGCTCGGAATACGCCTCTACCCGCCGCCAGCAGAAGGACCTCCTTGTCCCAACCTCGATTGATTTGCTCGCCGAGGACGGATCGTCTCTCAGCAGCTTGCTCGAGGGCATTGCAGGATTCGCAATCATTGAAAAGGCGACAATGCAGCGGGTTCCATACCTACGTTCTGTTGTTGATGTGAGTGTCGAGAGGCAATCTTGTCGCTTCGATTGTCCACGTTGTGCTAATGCTGCACTGCAGGTGGAAGAGCTGTGGGACTCCATGTGCACCGCGGCTATAAAACTCACAACAAAGGGTCTCGCAAACATTGATAACGCCGAGATATTACTCAAGATCAAGAGCGTCATTGCCCTGTTCATTCAAACCATGGAAGTACGTTTTCCCCCTCTCGAAACGGCTCGCTATACTCCAGGCAAGCGCTTACAGTGTTCAGGGCTGGGGATACTCTGTATCTGCTCTTGATAATTTCCTCCTACAGCTCTTCGACAAGTACGCCCAGCTGCTGAAGCGTCGATTCAGTGAAGACTTCCAAGAGGTTCGTTATCCAGACTTTGATCCTCTCAGACCAGTTGGCCAGGTGCTTACGAAGAATGCCACGGGCAGATTGTTTCCACTGATGACTATATGCCGATGGCGATTAACTCCCTCAGCGACTACGAAAAGGTGGTCAACGTCAGCTGGTTCACGCCAGATCGGCCTGTAGAGGAGCTTACGTGCGTTTCTTTAGTCTTATCCCCCTTTTTCTGTGACGAGCACTGGACGCTGATATACATGATAGGTTCCCCTGTGTTTTGCCGTTTTCGCAGATGTACCCGCTCTGCTGCATTGACATTCGCAATTTCCTGAACCAATTCTATTTCTTCCTTGATGATCATTTCCAGCATTCAGACATCATCGATGAGACACTCCGAAAGGTTCTTAGGGCCACCTCTCCCCAACGCTTCGCTGGCGGATCAAACATGACTAACTAGATTGAATCAGTCTCTGGATGAGCTTCTCAGTGAGAAGGTTTGCAAATCTCTCGTCGAGCGTCTCAGTTCCCAATACCTGGGCCAGATCGTGCAGATTCTCATCAATCTGGAGCACTTTGAGATAGCATGCCGTGAGCTGGAGCAGCTGTTGATCAGAGCAAGGTCGTCCACCTCGGCGGGCGGCCCCCTGAGGTTGAATGCGACGGAAGAGTTTCGCAACAATAAAAAGACAGCGGAGAAGCGAATATTCGAGCTGGTCAACTCCAAAATCGACGATCTTGTCGACACGGCAGAATACGATTGGTAAGGCCCATCTATGCGTGTTCGCGAAGAATCCATCACAGATACTAACGAACATCGTCGGTAAAGGCTGGCGAACGAGGTGCCGAGCGAACCAAGCAACTATATGCAGACGCTCACTCGCTATCTGTCCAACATCATGAACTCGACGCTTCTGGGACTGCCAAGAGAGATCAAGGAGTTGATTTACTTTGATGCTCTAAGCCACGCGGCCGAAAAGATTCTGGTCCGCTGCCCCTGTCCCCCATTCGCTTCCATCTGAATCATGTCTGCTGACCGACCTTGCAAGGCGCTCCCCCTTTCACCCGAGGTTCGACACATCAACGGGCATGGAGTCTCGGCCCTGGCCCAAGACGTCAACTATCTTACAGAATTTGTCGGGAGCCTCGAGAACGGACAGATGCTACGAGAAAATCTGGACGAGCTTCAGCAGACTGTCAATCTGATGCAGTCCGATAACCACGAGGAATTCTTTGATATCTCAATTCGCAACAAGAAATATGGCCGAGTTGACGTCCTCAATGGACCGATGCTACTCGAGAAGTATGCCGTCACCGATACACCCAAAAACCAAAATGAAATCTCCCAAAACAACACAAGAACCCTTTAGAGACACAGAACTGACAGACACATAATGTAGGCTCACTCCTACTGCGCAGCCTTCGGGGAGAGCTGCGCCACTCTCCAACTTATCTCGCTTCGCCATTATGAAATGAGGCAAACCGCCGTGTGGGGATGCCTCTCCAACCCACGAGGTATGTTGACTATTGTTTGCATACGTTTGGAGGGTTTTCCCGCATTCAGCAGTCAACCAGGAAGCAGCCCTTGGGCAGTTATTTTCACGTGCCACAACGCAATTTGACAACAGTGCCTGCCACGTTGGTGTCTGGACCCAACAGCCATTCCACCCTCTCATCGCCCAGAGCGAGGATCCTATTCAAAGTCTTCGGATGGCATGGGCGGCTGTCGGCGGCGGTTAGCAGGGCAGTGTGCTGCAGCGGAGACGGAGATGACTTCCTACCTGTTGCGGCTGCATTGCTGAATACTGGTACATGTTATCCATCTCACCATACATGGCCGCCTGCGGCTGCGGTTGTCCGTAGGCGGCGGGAGGGGCCTGGGGGACCTGGCCGGGATACATGCTGGGGGGCTGCCTGTAGTCCTGCTCAGACGGAAGCGCATGCCCGCCTATGTAGTCTGCGGTGGCCATGGAGTGGGACGACGGATGGCCGGCCGCCGGGGCCATGCCGGCGTGCTGCCCGGGCATGGGTGCCTGGCCTGCGCCGGGGACGGATTGGGCGGCGGACGGCTGTGTGTTGGTTCGTTTAGCATGTGCGGTAGCCTCCTCACGAGGGACAATGTCGATGAGGAAATCAAACATGTCGGACTTTGCGAGCGCAGAGGCAATGTCGGAGCGCTGCAGCGTGCGCCTCTTGTTTTCCTCGGCATGAATCCAGGCTCGCATGGTGAGCTCCGTGATGAATATGTCGCAGCCCTTGGCGAAGAGGATGGGCGCTTCGGCGGATATCATCTTGACTTCGGGATCGGCCTTCATGACCTTTTTGATGCGAGCGAGGGGCAGCTGATGAATCTTGTAGTCGTGCGTGTCGCTCTCCAGGTGGCTGATGGTTTGCTGCCAGTAAGTCGTCAAGATGTCCTTGTACTGGCCTGTGAGGCCCTGGTGAACCTGGAGAGGCGCCAGTAAAAGATTAGCAAACAATGCCATAGGGCCATCACATAGATGGGATAGGGAGGGAGAGCACAGAAGGAGGACATACGTTAGCCCAGGGTCCGGTGTAGAGCTCTGCCGGCGCAAAGCCTTGCGAGGCAAGCTGTCATGCTTGTGTTAGCCCAGATCGATCGGAAGGGCCGTTGGGAGAGGATACGAACTGCAGCACAGGCACCTGGAAGCAAAGGCGCATTAGTCGTTTGGTTTGGACAACTGAGAGCTGGGGGGAGGGGGGGGGAGGCGCCGTCCGCTTGCTTGAAAGACTACTAACCATAGTGTCCGCCTTGTGTGGGATCATAGACTGGCGTCGGCCGGTTATGTGACGGGTGCGTTGGCGCGGATTGGTTCTGGGATTCCATTGCTGAGCTGCGCCGGGGCGTGTGGATGGGCTGATGAGCTACGGGCTGTGGTGGTGGTGGTGATGCTGCTGCTCGATGGGTAGCTGATGAATGCAATGTGACGGCGTCAGTCCTCAGGAACCTAAATGCTTCGAGTTGCTATATGCGGGGACGGAACACACCCGTGCAACTCCGTTACTGGGAGTATAGACGGAGCTTGGTGGTTTAGCAGTAGAGCAAAGACGGCAAAGGCGTAGACAAAGTGTAGTATCCAGGGAATAGCGTGTCAGTGTAACGCAGAGAGGAGCGCAGCGATCGCGTTGTTGATTTTAGGCTCGGCCTTCTTTTGTTACCTTAGGTGATGTTGTCAGAGGTGCTTCCCAGCTGCGCGCAGCCTGTGTAGGGACTAGGATGTCTATTGGTTAGCTGAGCACTTAGCTAAGGTAAGCCATTACATCGTAGTAGTAGTATGCAAGTGGCGCAGCCAATCATCGGCGCAGCGCTGGCCGAGCTCGCTTTGCGCATATTCACTAGGTGCATAGAAAGCTTTTATTTGCGTGTTCGCATACTTGCATCCCGCCTTGCACAATGGTGGAACAAACCCGTTTAGGGTGGGACCGGAAAAACTGCTGTACCTAGTAGTGGAAAATAATCCACTTCTCTGCAGATGGAAAACCCGCTCCAGAAAATTGACCTACAAAAAGAACCCAGAAAAAAAAACTACACCTCGCATCTGGATCCTAGAAGAAGAAAAAAACTACTACTACGACAAGCCGGCTTTTCTCACCAAAGGGCGGCTTCGTATCCCTGTTTTCTCTCTGCTGCTTGTTTTGCCCAGCAATTCTAGCCATATGATGGCTGATTTTGTCGACGATGCCGTGCAGCAGCTTCTACAGCAGGCCGAGGAGCGCCTCAGCAGCGGCCGCATAGTCGCGAAGCCGAAGCAAGCGCCGACAGAGTCCAAAACTGCGGCGACGACTGCTCGGCCAGTAGGGGGAGACGATGCCAACGCATTGTTGCCTCCTAAGCAGGAGAAGACAGAAGTCCGCGTGCCGCGACCTCCGGTAGCAGCATCACAGCGGAAGGGTAAGGTAAGACTTCGGCCACCTCTTTCGAACTTACACCTTTGTTGTTTCGACATCCCTTCTCTTTCCCCGAGGATCGCTGGTATGAAGATGAAAGCTAGCCGCAAGGCACAAATGACACGGGACAATGTCCGTCTTGGACCACCGTCCCGTGGCCCCTGATTTCCTTTTATCATCATAGTTACTCTGAATACCAAAAGCGAACCCCCCCCCCTTCCCTCCTCTCATGAGCCCATGAACCAAACCCGCCCTTTCTCTAACGCATATTGGCCGACCTCCAAAATCATCGCTAACTTTGGAATGTCATGAAAAAAACAGAACACAGCAGGCGCCGAGTGGTTTGACCTCCCCAAAACCGACATGACGCCAGAGTTCAAGCGAGAATGGCAGCTGTTGCGTATGCGAAACGTCCTAGACCCCAAGCACCAGAAAAAGGCCCTGCGGGCTGCCGCCCCCGAGTTCTCCCACGTCGGCAGGGTCGTGGCCAGCCCGTTTGAGCCGCGCAGCGCCAGGCTCGGCAGCCGCGAGAAGAAGAAGACGCTGCTGGAGAGCATCATGTCCGTGCACAACGACGCAAAGCTCGACTCCAAGTACTCGTCCGTCCAGGAGAAGAAGAGAGAAGGACGAAAGGCATACTACAAATCAGTCGTTGCCAAACGACGACGGAGAAACTGAGACGATCCAGCCTACTTCCCTTTTCCATTTCTTTTTCTTTTCTCTTTCAGAACGATACCCCGGCCATACTTCAGCGCCAATTGTACATACCTATATATCTGTATAAAGCAAGCACATATAGACCCAAGTCACGAAACTCTGAATTCGCTTCAGACAGGTTATATTCCCAATTGCCACAAAAATTGATTATCAATGTTGTATATCTAGTGTCGATATGTGAAACTTCGAAGCCCCCTCCGTGATAACATATTTCTCGTTCTCATTATACCATTTTGTAGTATATATGTCATGATCATACCAAACGAGCATTTGATAAGTGTTGTAGTATCTGGCGACTTGATAGCAAGCGCTGCATGCTGCCATGTTGTGTTGAATATACCAAGATCGAAAAGAAAGGAAAAAGAAGAGAAGTCTAGCCTATTCTGCCCTCGGCCTTGGCATCTGTCGACTCTGTTAGTGCTCACGGTTCAATAAAAGTATGGTGTGCGATGAGTCTCAGCGATGAGGCAAGACTAGACACTCACCTTTGACCTGCTCAAAGACCTTGAGCATCTTACGCCGTGCTCCGAGCGCGTTTACACCCCGCTCCTCCAAGGCCTTGTCGTCCAACTCGATGAGTTCCGTCCAGTTCATGTCCTTCAGATTGTCCGTGTACTTGTGTAGCCGCAAGCTGCGAAGCCAGCTAGGAATGTCCTGAAGAAGCGTGGGGTCCGTAGGATCTTCCGGAGGCTTCGAGCTTCCCCTTCTTCCTCTCGGTGACCGTCCGCGGTTCATGTCGGAATGATCCGACAGGTATCCCTCGTGCGAGTTGATGCCCAGCTGTCCCAGCCCGACAGGAGACATGCCGCCGGCCATCAACGCCGAGCCGTCATACGCGCTGAGGAAACCGTTGTGCTGAGGTGAAGTGAAATGCGCCATGGGCCCCATATTCGACTGCATGGGCAAGCCCGGAGAGTTTGGACGAGATCGCTGTCCTCCGAGCGTGAGACCTTGCTGCGCCTGGATGGCCATTAGCTGATCGCGGTTCAGGATCTGCCCGTGCTCGTTAATCATGACGACGTTGGCGTTGGGGATGTTGATGTGCGACGGAGCAGGCATCTGGTTGTGTGCGCTGCCCGGGGCATCGTTGGACCTGGCCCGTCGGTACTTGCGAACGTCGTCCAAGGCGAAGCGGTTGTTGACTGTAGAGAGGGCCGCGAGCTTCATTGCAGTCGCGTTGGCCACCATGTCGGCCTGCGTGGCACTTGAATTCCCGGTATTGAACGTGGGTGCCATTGGAGTGTTGACCATGGACGCCCAGTTCCCGCTGCTCGCGTACGGAGACAGGATGGGCAGGTCAGGCGCGTTCTTGTCCCGCGTCAGGGTGGTTGTTTGCAGCGTAGAGTTGCTGGTCAGCTGCGGTGGCCTTGGCGACCTCAGCCCTCCGCCGGATGCCGGGGGTTGCACGAACTGGCCCATGGGCGTCTGGGACGAGCCCGCCTTGGAGGACGTCGCGGCATCTCCGCCGCTGCCCCAAGGCGACGCTGTCGAGCCAACATTTCCCTCCCTGGAGTCCGAAGTCGCACCCGCGATATTAGACCCCGTCATCCCAGTCCGGGGATCTATGGCAAGGCTGTTGCGGTTCGACGAGGGTGGATTCCCCGTCTGCTGGGTGAATTTAGCCTTTTCGGTTGCAATGGCGGCCGCAGCATCCGGAAACATGGCATTGATCGTGGAGGCATCGAGGCCAGAGTGTCGCTTGGTCGACGACATGGTTGAGTTGCGAGCGAACGAGTTTCGAGCAGAGTCGACACTGAGCTTGTTCATGGCGTCGCTCAGCCGACTGGACATTGGGTCTTGCAAAGAAGAGCAACGTTAGCACGCATAAAAAGAAAAAGGCCGTTTCGAATGGGGCTTCAAGCGCAAAGGCCTACCTTTGTCGAACGTGGCGGGAGACAGAACTCCAGACATGGGATGATTCTTGCCCATCTGCTGCAGAACCTGGATGAAGAAGCGGATCTGGACCTGGGTCGTCTGCTGCAGCAGTGCATACAGAGCGGCCGTGCGCTCGGCCTCGCTCAGGACGCGGAACCACTGCTCGATGGCGCTGAGCTCGTCCTTGAAGTCCTGGTCGAGCGTGGCGGCGGCCATTTCTTCCAGCGTCGTCTCGTACTGGTCAATGTCGGCGATCCACTGCTGGGCAATCTTGTCCTGGGAGTCAATGTCGAGGCCGGCGGGGCCGTGGCCGCCCTGCTGCGGCTGGCCGTAGAAGTCGGACGAGGGCCTGATGCGGCTGGCGGGCGAGGTCCCTGATATCGCCGCCATGTCGGCAGACGCGCGCAGCGAGCTGCCAGAGCCCACTGCCCGCGACGAGGGCGGCCTCAGAGAGGGCGCGGCATTGACCTCGGGGGTGCTGTTGCGGTTGCCGGCGATGCCAGACATGTTGAGCATGCTTCGGCTGCGTTCAAAAACGGGGGCCGTTTGAAAAGCCGCGGAAGGGGGCCAAGTGAAGGTATGTAGGTGAGGAAAAAAAGAGAAGAGGGGCTAAGGACGGGAGAACAGTTGGCGAATTCCTGCAGTATCCAGCTGAGCAAGAGACGGTTTTTTGGCGAGACACGCAGACCACGACGATGCGAATTATGACAAGCTATAACATGTTCCCCGAGCAAACTGGGTATTAGACGACCACGCGTTAGCTCTCGAACAAGAACACGTTTTTGAAGGTATGCTCTCTCTTCTTGTTCTCTCCCCTTCTGTATAATCTCACTGCCACAAACTTGACGGGGAATCCGGAATCCTCCCAGCCAGGCAAACCAGAACAGAAAGCGGGCGAGGCTCACCAGAGGGAACGCACTAGTTGTTTTAACCAAAGACTGGCGGGAGAGTGTCTGCTTCCAGGCAGGCAACGCAATTCAATCCAGCTTGCCGACCAGGCTTCCGAGAGAGATCGTATCAAACGCGCTGCCTTGGAAGAAGGATGCGGCGAGAAGAGAAACGGAGGGCGACCGACTGTGGATTGCCAGGAGCAGAGACCGACGGGGTCTTTGCGAGAGTAAGCCTAGCAAGCAGCAATAGTACTTTGGTGGCTAACTATTACTAGTAGCAGTTCTGGGCCTCGAGCGAAGCATACCCAGCCGCTGCAAGAAGGCAGTATTATATTCACGTCACAACCAGTTGGATAAACTATTTAGATATCATTCGGAGACAGTACTTTTTACAATAGTATCTTAATTTCTATATAAAATCTAGATTTCTCTTATTATATTAAAAACATATTAAGTTATTTAATTATTTTTTATTAAATATTAACTTATATATTAAATAAATATAAATAAATAATATTAAAGTATTTATATATCAGAAATTTAAGTACTATCCCTGACACAAGCCCCACTTATATCTCACAATAGCCGGGGCAATCAGTTTGCCTTACCGAGTAGTACTAGTACAGTAGGTAGGTGGTATCCTCGCCTGAAACAACTCCGGATGTACGTACCGCAACACCTCCCCACTCGTCTCCTCAGCCGCAAACCCACCAATCAATCGGCTCGCCTCGCTTAGGTACTCTCCGAAAGTTACACGCTCGCAAGTACCTCTCCTTGCCGCACGCACACACACACGCACACACACGCACTAGGGCTGGTACCGCCCACTCGTCATATTTCCGCACGATCTGAATCTCGAACTCTGGAAAATTCCCACCGGACCAGAAGCACTCCCAAGTCACAACACCACACAGCAGCAGCAATGGCCAGTAAGTGAAATTATCGCCAAATTTCCACGCATATGGCATCTCAGATGCGTCCGGAACGTCGTTGCTAATGCTTGGATCTCCCATCCAGAGTCAAAGAACTCGTCCCAGCACAACCAGTCGCGCAAGGCGCACCGTAACGGGTTCGTCACCATCTCCAGCACAAATTGATCCCCCTCCGAATTCCTTCTCACGCAGTTTCGCTTACCGCCCCCGGACTATAGCATCAAGAAGCCCAAGACTTCTCGTTACCCCTCCCTGAAGGGCACCGACCCCAAGTTCCGCCGAAACCACAGACATGCTCTTCACGGCACCATGAAGGCTCTGGTACGATCTTAACCCTCCCCGGCGAGAAGAGAGGGAACCCCCCGGAGGAAAAACTGCAGACGGATCTCGACTAACAAGATGAACAGAAGGCGGCCAAGGAGGGAAAGTCAGCATGAGCGTACCTTTGACTCTAGCGGGTAGTGAATAAAAAGGAGATTCTTTTGCAAAGTTTCAGGCCAGTTGGCCGCAGCTTAACACACCATTAGACGCGGGTTTGCGCAGGAATCGGTACTTCGACAGCTAATAGGACAATGCATCACTATAATGCTGGGAAGATCGATCGGGTTTTCCTCTCAATATGAGCTCCGGGTAGACAATCTGGTTTGTCTAAAATCATTGCAGGCGCCGCGTGCATTTCTCACAGTCCGTTCGTCTCCCAGTGATTCTTCCACTCTTTGATGGCCCGTGTGGCAGCGGTGTGGCCCTGCTCCTACAAATTACACAACTTGAATCAGCTGGACAGACGACTTCATTGATTCCATTGCTCCTTGCTTTCCATTGTTTCTTTGGGTATACAATCAGACAATTGATGAGGAAATTCAGCTCCTTGTTATCGGACAATTAGTGCCCACCAAACGACACTACAGTCTCAGGTTCTTGACTAGCAGCTCATGTGCCAGACCCTTATTGTTGGTCGACAGCAAGGATATGATTTGGTTGACGAGAATGATATCCTTCAAGAGCTTATTCTCGCCCGCCGCCTTGTTTGCTTCCAGTGCGCGAGTGTAGTACTGCAGACTCAGGTATCCGATCCCGAGCAGATGGAAGAGTCTTCCCACGTTGTAGTATCGCTCTGCCTGGAGCCTCGGCTCGTTACCCCCGGACTGCACATATAGGGTGATGAATGACTGGCCTTGCAGTAGCAGATACTGTCGGTTAGTCGATTGCCGCTTGAGGCCATAGTGAACATATGCAAGACCCAGACTCAAGTTGACCATGGGATTCTCGCGGTCGAGCGCCCACGCACGCAAGAAATATCCTGAGTGCCACTTGTTAGTTTCCGCGTTGCCAGGTCTGCGACAAGATCGCTTCGATGCTCACCTATCGCATATGTGTAGCTTGTGGATGTGAAGAGGATATGGCCATAAAGCATCAACAGGCAAATGTCCATGTTCAGCTTTTCGGTGGCCGCTCCGTCCTGGTCGAGAGTGCCCGTCCCGCTCAGGTTCTTGTTTGCAGCTTCATATGTCATGTCTATCGCTTTGATTTGTCTCAGGATGAACTTTTGGGCCGGTCCGGAAGTGTACCAGGAAACGGGCGACTGGCATAACTTGGAGAGCAATGCGAACATCCGAGAAGAGTCGGATATCCCGCCATCTCGCATCAAGTGTCGGGCCACCGTGATGCATTTCTCTTCGTCGTTTGTGTTGATGGCACACACTACACCGGTCAGTATGAGGTCAACCTTCTTGCTCAGGATCAGGCCTTTACATACCGCTCCAAGCCATGTGGATGGCAAAGTTGTGTTGGGGCGACTGAAATACAGTCGAGTCTCTTGCAGACTCGCATACCTGATACGCTTCTTCGCGGCGGTGTACAAGCGATAAGCCAATGGCATAATCGAGGAACAGGTCAAGCCAGTCGTCAAACGATATGCCTTGGTGATTGTCGAATCCTGGCCCCATCTGAGACTCTCCTTGAGGCGCAAGGGCTATCGATGGTCGTCAGTATCAGAAAAATAGCCAGCATGCGAGCACCCTCCAGGAGAAATTAAAGGAAGGGTGGTGATGCACATACTCCGTGTAAGACGCTCAAACATCTGTGATAGTTCGGTACTTGCTCCTTCGCTGGCTGCCTGCTCCGCCAACTGCTTCTTCCCGAGAAAGTGCAGGTATTTGTCCCATGTATAGAATCTCTTGAGAGACCGGAAGTCGTCAACAAGCTCTTTGCAGGATTCGATCCAGACGGGAATGAGATCGGTGGAGCCAGACTTGATTTGCTGCTTCAGGCCACGAACGTATTCATACTGCCGCGAGAGCTTGATCGCGCGTGAGTGTTCTTCTTGCCGTCGCTTATCGGGGTTGGCAAATCGCTTTGCGCGGTATCTCCTAGGCAGGATACGCGTCGTCGGGGCGGACTTTGGCTTGACCTGTCGAGGGCCTTGCCGCGGCTGAGAAGGCTGTATGCCCCTTATGCCGCGATCTGTTTGCATCGAGAACTTGTGGAGCTGGTCCTGGGTGAGCGGCTCGTTCGGAGGAACCCCCTGAGCTTCCTTGAGTGCCATTGCCTCCGCTGCAAGAATGAGGGCTTCCTCGTCTTCCCTGGCTTTCTCATACATGTTTGCCAGCTCGATGCGGGCATCGATGTTGTACTCGTCAGCATCAATGGCCGCATGGAAGCACTCCTCTGCAGTGGATTGCTGCCCCATTGCTTGGTAGCATCGGCCCAGCTGAACCAAGAGCGTTGCATCTGGCTCTTCAGTCGTGGCTCGGAGCAGCTCGAGATACCTGATGGCTCGCTGTGGGTGGCCATACTTGGCAATCTCGCTCGCAAGGTCATATGAAATGAAGGGGAACTCCGCCATAAAGTCGAATGTACGCGGATTATCCGGGTCCAGCCAAGTCAAATGTCTCTGTTCAACGCTTTCTCGTTAGGCCATGCACACTACACTGGATGACAAGCAGTAATGGGAAGTGCTGTCGCTTACAAAGGCCTCTTCTTCTTCTCCAAGCCTTAGCCTGTAGATTGCCAGTCGAACTCTGAGGTCTAGAGGTAGGGCCAGGCCATAGAGCTCCGGGCCAAACATTGAGTCTTGGAACTGAGGGACATGGCTTCTACGTTCATCGCCCTCGTCCCATTCGCAGTCGTCCATCTGCCACTGGTCCCAGTAATGCTCCTGGACACGACCTACCAGCCATCTGGACAGCGCCTTGAGTTCCTGAATGGCCTCCGCATACCGGCCAGTTGCAGCAATGAGCTCAACATAGATTCCTATATCAAGCCAGGGGGCAGTAGAGCCGTGCAAAGCAGAGTTCTCGATTTCATAGTCGAAATAGCGTCGATATGCCATGATGGCAGAGGGCACGGCAGACTCGGTGTTCTTATTGTCGATGCAGGCTTCCGCCAGCTTCCGCACAATCTCGAGGTCATATGGATGATATTTGAGAACGAACTTGTACTCCTGAATAGCAGCGGCCAGATGGCCTTGCCGATGACAAACGGTTGCCTTGCCGAGCCGGGCCTCAATATTGACGGGATCCGCTCTGAGGGCAGCAGAATAGCACAGCCGCGCGGTGTGCAGGTTACTCGCCTCGGCCTCCGCAATCGTGTCCAGCGCAAAGGCGGCACACTCGAGCCAAGCAGAGACTTCCTTGGGTCGCAGATGGGCGGCATACACCATGGCGGACAGCGCCCGGGCATGCTCGCCTTGCTCGCGGAAGATGGACGACAGCGCGGTCCATGCTTGGTGGGTTTCGGCATTGATCCTAATTACTTCGGAGACCAGGTCCAAGGCCTTGGAGTAGTCTCCGCTGAGGAAAGCCTGGTTGACCTTGGCCAACCGAGCTGTGATGTCGCCTCGAGGTTTGGCAGCTTTGCGCGGGCCTCGAGCGCCCCGAGATCCTCGTCCTCTGGCTATTCCGCGTCCGGGGAAGGGCGTTTCTGGCTCGCCATGCTGGGCCTGCAAAAATTCTCTCACCGACTGGTCAAACTTGGCGATGTCGTGTTGGAGGAGCTCCTGATCAGAGTCAGAGTCGGACGCATTCCCACTAGAGCCGTCCACCAAGGCCTGGGCATTAGCACAGCTTCACCGTTGACGAAGTTACGAGCACAGACTCACCCCGCGAGCGACGCGTCCAAGCCACGATTGCCCGACATCTTTATCGAGGATTTGCAACAGTCATATTGAGTGGCGATGATGATGATGGAGGAATGAAGAGCAAAGTTGTGGCTTGGGCCGAGGTGGGCATATCTAATCGAGTAACACGCCCAGCACCTGCCGAGTTGCTCTCCAGGTAGGAAATAGGTACTTCGCAAGTCTGATATTGTTGATTTATCCTACCTACCTAATCGAGTACGGTTGCCACCTGTTATAAACACATTTCGCACGAGCCCAGGATTCACCACAAGGCTCATCACCATTCTTCTACTACCAGCATGTTGAAGCGACCTACATGATTTTATAGCAAAATAATACTGTTGGTTGATGGCATCCTGGAGGAATAAAGCTGCCATTTCGAGTTAAGCCGGGTCATTAGCGCACTGTCATCCCAGAAGTCTCCCCCCACTCCCATTGGCTGGATTTGACCATAGCAGATTCTTTCAGTCGCAAACTCGCCATCTGATCTCGACATTGCCGACCAAGAGACGTCTGGACATGTTCAAGCCAAGTCCGCAGCGTCTATCGCAGCTCCAGGTACAATGAGTGATGCCTCCAATGAGTGGGATTGCAGCTAACCGGGGGTGATGGTAGGCCGCCGTGCCTTGGGCTGCCAGGAAAACCCCGGCCTTGGGGTAAGCATTCCTTGAACGAGACGAAGCAGCAAGAGGATTCTGACAAACCACCGCCAGGTGCATGGTCAACGAACCGAGATCGAGACACTACTCCGCTCCGGCCAAATCAGATCGCGAAAAGGAACCGAGCATACGAAGTCCACGCTCCCTCCAGGCCCTCCACCTCAAGCCATTGAAGCGCGAGGCTGAGTACGGCATCCCCTCATGCGACCTGCAGCTGCGGTCATTCAGCTTGCAGCCACTCCAATTCTTCTCGGACTTTGCGCTGCGGGCTGCGTATTACCTCGGACTGCCAGCGTCCGGCCCAGTCACCCTTCCCCGGATCACAGAGCGATGGACCGTGCCGAGGAGTCACTTCATCTTCAAGAAATCACAAGAGAACTTTGAGCGTGTGACGCTGAGGCGCCTGATCCAGATTAAGGACGGCAATCCGGAAACGGTGCAGCTGTGGCTCGCCTACTTGCGCAAGCACCAGTTCTATGGCATTGGTATGAAGGCGAACATGTGGGAGTTTGGCACAACAGAAATGTCCAAGTCGCTGGAGGAGATTGAGGGGTTGATGTCGGGGCAAGATGCTCCCTGGTCTCATCTTGGACAGACGAAAAGCATCGGCGCCGCCGACAAGGTGGTGGACATTCTCAACTCTCGCCGGGTCAAGAAGGCCGCAGACAACAACTTTCCGATTCACGAGATATCATAAGAGAGAATATACCCCATCCACAAGCAGCCCAAGAAAGTCCAGGCCAACTCTTTGATGTTTCCCGATGCGTATATGAGGAAGATCAAGCGGCAGTGTTGGGGCAGCAAAAAGCGCCAAGGCCGGGGCTATCATTCTGTACAATAAGGGACCTTTTGTAGGTCAACATGTAAATTACGTAGGTACCAAGCCATTGGCTATTCGAGTCTAAACACATGAGAAATGATTTCTTAGGGATGGTATCTTCTGAAGACATATTTAGTATCTGCCTATAGGTATATAGACATTGCACATCAGATGCACCTCTATGCATATTGTGGGGGGTCTGACACGCGCCTCTTATCGATATGCCAATGCCAATGCTCTTGCAAGCTCCCACTCTATTTTCAACTCTGCCAAATGCTGTCGCCTCGGCACGGCCAGTCACTTGCACCAGACTTGTCGCCATGCTGCTCTCGCGCCTCTCGCGGCCGATGCCGTTGCTCACAAAGCCTATCGCGAGGCCAGTGATTCTATGTAGGCGGTGCATCTGGGCGACGACATCAGCGGGCTTTGGGAGCCATCGGCCGCGAAGGGACATGTAAGGCACTTCCAACCTTTTTTGTCGCGTGTTGCATGCAGCGGGAGAGCAACGGCAGGCCTCGCTGCCCAGACACCCAATCTCTCCTCAATTGGAACTTTACGTAGAAGCGATTGTGTTAACATAGTCGTTCGTAGCGCCCCTGTGCCGCTCGCCTTGAGAATCACGAAGCGATTCAACCACCAGCCCGGTGACCAGGCGGATAAAGGCGTTGCGAAGAAGCCGACCACCAGCCCAGCCATTCACGAGGACATCTATACGATACCAAACTTCCTCACCTTTACCCGACTTGTTGCAAGTCCAGTCATCGGTTACCTCGTGCTGCAGGATGCGCACACCTGGGCCGTGGGCTTGCTGGCGTACGCTGGCTTTACAGATCTGCTGGATGGATGGATAGCGAGGAAGTGGAATCGCAGGACGGTCGTGGGCACGATCATCGATCCAATGGCCGACAAGGTCCTGATGACCGTGCTGACGGTGTGTCTAGCCATCAAAGGGGCGTTGCCTGGTATGTGGACAACTTCATCTCCGATTCTCCAGGCGGCTGGTGTATGAGACTGGCTGACATGACTCTTGTTCTTGCACTCAGTCTGGGTCGCAAGCATCATCCTGGGCAGGGATGTCGGACTGGCCATTGCAGCCATCTATTACCGTTGGATCTCACTGCCGCCGCCCAAGACGTTTACACGATACTGGGACTTTTCACTACCCTCCGCCGAAGTTCGACCTACCACGATTAGCAAATACAACACCTTCCTTCAACTGGCCCTTGTTGGTCTAACGACGGCAGCACCGCTTTTGAGTGTTGATTTGGCGACAACGCTTACAGTTATGCAGTACGTCTTTGTCTACCTACCCCTTCTCCCGGTCGAGCGTGTTGTTGCTGGTTTTGCTTACTTTCCATTGCAGATACGTGGTGGCTACGACGACGGTGTGGAGCGGAGCGAGTTATGTTTTCGCAAAAGACGCCATCAAGATTTTGAACAAGCCTTGAAGTAGAGTTACGGCCTTGCTAGATGAGAGAGTCCAGTTGGCCAGTGTAAATATTACCATGTCATAGAATACCAACAGCGAAGCCTTGATGAGGGCGGTGGTCTAAACAAGGGGTCTCGGGTAGGCAGCTCCCCAGGAACTGTTCATAGTAGTTTCATCCTCCCAAGGCGGCATTGACCCTCTGATACTGCACATGATCCACCAGAGATTCTCTCCCTGGAAAAATCACTGCTGCTTCGGCAGACAGTGTGCCTTGCGATAATTACCAACCCACAAGATGGGAGCTTAAGGCGATTACGGCCATCTAACCCGAGCTGACAATGTCTACTGAACTACGGCTGGCAACACACACACACACACACACACACACACACACATACATACGAGCAAGACGGCCTTCAGAATCTTTCCCTCAAACTGTATCTTTATTTGGTTTAGTTTGATATTAACGACCACCTAAACAAATTGGTCGGTCTCCATGATATTTACGACCACATAAAACCACTGGTCGGCCTGGAGCTAGCTGTGAACCCACGTGCTATTCAATACACGGACCACCCCGGAAATCCGTATTTCGCACCCAGCTTAGTCGAGGCACTTAGGCTTGCCCAATCCATTATTGGGACTTACTTCCGTTTGATTCGAGGCCCATTAGGGCGAGTTTCGGCGAGAAGACACAGAAGAGAGAAAAGAGAAAAAAAAGAAAAAAAAAAGAAAAAAAAAAAAGCCAAAAAAGCCAAAAAAGCCAAAAAAGCCAAAAAAAGAGGCCTAGGAAAAACCCTCTACGGCGTGAGGATGAAAAAACCTAGGACGCACTCGAGGCTTTGCTACCGCTGGCCGTCGGTCTCTTCTGAAGAAGCTGATGCCTTGCCCATGCGAAACAGACAGACCGCAGATGCTGTCAGGAGCGCCGACTTGGAAATGAAGATTGTCCGATAGCGCTGCCCAAGATGCGGAGTTTTCTGTGTTGTGTGCCGTGTGGTTGTAAACAACCGCGAGAGGTCGTGATGCCGGTTACGGGAACCAGCTGGATTTGTCTGGTCAGCCGTGATGAGGGCTGAATGGATTGTGTCTGGCTAGTCCTAAGAAAAGGACTGGAATTGAGATTGTGGCCAGCATTGAAGCTGGAATTGTTGTGGCTGCTGTTGTTTTTTGTTTGACGATGCAAGAAGGGAGGAAGCTCTCAAAGGTCCCTTCTTGTGGCGGTTGAGGGCCAGCGCAGCCCTAACCGCCTGAGTTGGCGAAACGCCCTGCAGACATCCCTGGCCTCCATACCTGACTGCTAGCAAAAGGTAGGTATGGGAGATGTTTGCAGGAGAGAGTTGGCCTCTGTCAAAAAGGTGCGGCCTGCTCTGGCTTTTATAGCTGCCAAACAGCGTCGTCTGTTCTGCTGCCCTGTGCAGAGGTCTTTTCCTAATTGGGTAACTGGAGATGATGTGCGAATGGAGCTTCGAGATTGGCCATATCATCACGTGCCAAAGCCGCCGACAAGTGGATCCATCTCAATTGCGCTTGTCCCGCTTCAGGCTAAGCGCCAGCCTGGTGCCTTGTCTGCTTACTCAGCTTCCAATCTACAATACGTCAGGCGTTCAACTCCCTGCTAGTAGTAACCTCTTTGCCTCTTATGCTGGCTACCTATAGCGTGAGAGCTCCCGTACAGAATCAACCACCTTCTTCAGACACGACACGATGAAGTTCAATATAGAGTCAGTTACTCTGGCTGAAACACGCGTCATGTCTAGCCAAGCTCACGAGTCAACAGCAATCTCCCCGTGTTATTTCCTTACCCAAGGATATATCCAGGTTCGTCGTGCCCGTCACTCTTATCCGCATTCACGCTTGGTGCAGCATCGTATAGCTAACACGACCACAGAACAATATGCGTGAGTCTCATTTCAGCATGTCCATGGCTATCTGCACAGACTCTGACCACTGAGGAAAACCGGCAGTTATATGTGTGATTTGAAAAGTATGACTTCACGAGGGTTCTGGTCGTGTTTGCCCGCTTACTCACCGATATAGAAACGCTCGATGCGGGCGGTCACTGCGTGCTGGAGATGCCGTCAGGGACCGGCAAGACGGTGTCACTGCTGTCTCTCATTGTTGCATATCAGCAGCACATGCCCGAGAAGCGGAAGCTCATCTACTGCTCCCGTTCGTAACGAAACCCATTCCTGGAGGGCCTGTGACTGGACAGATGCTGACCTGCTCTCCATAGGAACCATGTCTGAGATTGAAAAGGCCCTGGTCGAGCTGCAGTCTCTGATGAAGTATCGCACCGAGCAGTTGGGGTACGAAGAGGAGTTTCGCGGCCTTGGCCTGACAAGTCGCAAGAACTTGTGTCTTCACCCCTCCGTCAAGAGGGAAAAGAGTGGCTCGATTGTCGACGCTCGCTGCCGGAGTCTAACTGCAGGGTTTGTCAAGGAGAAGAAGGACCGAGGTGAAAATGTCGATGTCTGTGTCTATCACGATGTGCGTTCCCCCAAACATCTAGCTCAGTGCTCGTCGACTCCTGGCTCAGTCACTGTCATTTGTTCACTAACACGATCCTAGAACCTTGATCTGCTCGAACCACACAACCTGATACCCAACGGCGTATGGTCCTTTGATGCACTGTTACGATACGGAGAGGAGCATAAGCAGTGCCCCTATTTCACTGCGCGACGCATGGTATGATTTCACTCATGATATTCTACCTCTTGCTGGAGAGTTGCCTCTAATGCTGCCAACCAGATGGAATACTGCAATGTAGTCATCTTCTCCTATCACTACCTCCTAGATCCCAAGATTGCAGAGCGTGTCTCCAAAGACTTTTCCAAGGACTGCATTGTGGTGTTTGACGAAGCCCACAACATCGACAACGTCTGCATCGAGGCGCTCAGCACCGACATTACCGAAGACTCAATACGCAAAGCGACCCGCAGCGCTCAGCATCTCGAGCGGAGAATCGCCGAGATGCGGGAGACGGATCAGGAGCAGCTCCAAAACGAATACGAGAAGCTTGTTCAGGGGCTTCGCGCGGCAGATGAGTCGAGGCAGGAGGATGCCTTTATGGCCAATCCAGGTATGTGATGCCAATTCGTCTCTGCGCTGCCGTTACTGAGACATCATTGCAGCCTTGCCGGATGACCTTTTGAAAGAGGCTGTGCCGGGCAACATCAGGAGAGCAGAACATTTCGTGGCCTTTTTGAAGCGATTCTTGGAATATCTCAAGGTTCGTGCACCTCCCCCCCCCCCCCCCCCCCCCCCCCCCTTTTCATTTGAACCCCTGGGTGGTCATGCTGATTTTTTTTTTTTTTGTCTCAGACGCGAATGAAAGTTCGGCAAGTCATCTCGGAAACACCACCGTCGTTTCTGGCCCATCTGAAAGAGCACACATTCATCGAAAAGAAGCCGCTGCGGTTCTGTGCCGAGCGGCTGACATCACTTGTCCGGACCCTGGAACTTACGAATATCGAAGACTACCAAGCACTCCAAGAAGTGGCAACTTTCGCAACGCTCGTTGCAACCTACGAAAAGGGCTTCCTGTTGATCCTGGAGCCGTACGAGTCCGACACGGCAGAAGTGCCAAACCCCACGCTTCACTTCACCTGTCTCGATGCGGCCATTGCCATCCGGCCTGTGTTTGAAAGGTTCTACTCAGTCATCATAACGTCTGGAACGATTTCCCCCCTCGAAATGTACCCCAAGATGCTGGACTTTGCGACAGTCATACAAGAGTCCTACAGCATGACGCTCGCCCGGAAATCTTTCCTCCCCATGATTGTGACTCGAGGGAGCGACCAGGCTTCCATCTCGTCGAGCTTTCAAGTTCGAAACGAGCCGAGCGTTGTCCGCAACTACGGCAGCCTCTTGACCGAATTTGCCAAGATCACGCCCGACGGCATGGTGGTCTTCTTCCCGTCGTACCTGTACATGGAGTCCATCATCAGCATGTGGCAGGGCATGGGCATCCTCGACGAGGTGTGGAAGTACAAGCTCATCTTGGTCGAGACGCCCGACGCACAGGAGACGTCGCTGGCGCTGGAGACGTACCGGACGGCCTGCTGCAACGGAAGGGGGGCCATCCTGCTCTGCGTCGCGCGAGGCAAAGTATCCGAGGGCATCGACTTTGACCATCAGTACGGCCGGACGGTGCTGTGTATCGGCGTGCCGTTCCAGTACACGGAATCACGCATCCTCAAGGCTCGGCTCGAGTTCCTGCGGGAAACGTACCGCATCAAGGAAAACGACTTCTTGTCGTTTGACGCCATGCGCCACGCCGCGCAGTGCCTGGGCCGCGTCCTCCGAGGCAAGGACGACTACGGCGTCATGGTGCTCGCCGACCGACGGTTCCAGAAGAAGAGGAACCAGCTGCCGAAATGGATCAACCAGGGCCTGTCGGACGCCGACACCAACCTGAGCACGGACATGGCCGTCAGCGCCGCCCGCCGGTTCCTCAAGACCATGGCGCAGCCGTTCCGGAGCAAGGACCAGGAGGGCATCAGCACCTGGGGCTACGAGGATCTCCTGCGGCACCAGAAGAAGATGGAGGAGGAGAGGGGAGAGGAGCCGCCGCCTGTGCTCGCCAATGCGAGGGGCCAGGCTCACGGTAGCATAGCTGCTGGGTATGAGTCGGACTATGGAGACATTGATGCCGATATGATGGAGCTGGAAGGCTTTGAGTGAAGAAGGAAAGGGGGAAGTCTTGGGGGGCTGGTGGCAACGCTCTACGAAGTGACGATATCTGGATAGGAGGCAAGTCAGGGTTGAGGAAATATTGGAGTCTGATATACAGAAATAGCAACCCTAAAGTAATCAAGAGTTCGTCTTGGGAGTCAAGGACAACGAAGTATCCATGTACATGAATCATCTATCTACCAAGCAAGTATTGATCCGGCTGTTCGCATTCTATCATGGCCCGAGTAGTTCCCATCTTCGTCTAACAGAAAAAAAAAAGGTGTCAATCTCTCCAGCAAGCAGTCAATTACATCTCCCAAAGGGCATCATCATCAGCCATGAATAACTCCTGCAAGGAGGCAACACCTCCCTTTCATAGATGAAATCACCACCAAGAAAAAAGAAGAAAAGAAGAGCAAAGAAAGGGCGAAGGGGGGTATATATCAAAAGTCATGCATTTGCGCGGCCCAAACTCCGCAAATTCTCAACCAGCAGCAGGAATGCGCCTCGTCGCCTTGACGGCCCTCATCGCAGGCAGCGTATTCGCCCGCCCAGGCCGCCTGCCAATCTCAAAGCACAGCATCCGGATAAAGTCGGTGTTGCTCCAGTAGCTGCTGTGGGCGCTCAGCATGTTGAGATACTGAATCTCCAGCGGCCCGCCGCCCGACCTGAGGAACCAGTCAATCTGGCCGTTGTCGTTGAGCAAAAAGGCCTTCTTCTCGGCAATCTCCTCCCTCGTAAAGTCGTGCACCTCAAGCTCCAGCTGAGAGGGGAGGCGCACAGCAGGCGGGCGGCCGTCGTCCGTCGTCGATGAGCCGGGATTGGCGGCGCCCATGCCCTTGGCAACGGTACGCATGGCATCGCCAAACGACTTGAAGAACGAAGTCGAAGCGGTGGGAACATATGCCGTCTTCAGGCTGGCCGCATACACTGGGTCAACCGCGCCGTTGAGAAAGTAGGCAATTGGATCTTCCCGAGCAAGAATGTTGTATATGTTATCGACGGCCAGGCACCCAAACATGCCCTGCTCACCACCGACATTGTCGGCCATGGTCTCGCTCACATCGACGCCGGGTTTGGCACGTCCACGGCGCGGCGTCAGAGCGCCCCTTTCGAGCAGCAAGAAGAAGCCGGTGGGGCTCCCCATCAGGAAGAGGTTCCTCGTGTCGAACTCGAAGAAGTTGGTCTCTGGCTCTGGTCGGGACAGGTCCAGCGGAGGCGCAATTGTTGGCTGCCGCGACAGAACCTCGACCGCCATGACGCTGCCGAGAGAGTGAGCGACCAGGTGAACGCGTCCGTTCTCAGCAAAGCCGGGGTTGTTCCTACACCAGAGGCGGTAGACGCGGTTCGCCTCGGCGACCAAGGCCGCAATCATCTTGCCCTTGTGGTGAGACATGTAAAAGGGAATGTCAAACATGACGTCGGAGATCATGCTCCTGATGGCGGGGATGGTGTTGGGCTCAATGTCCTTGAGAGTGAAAGGCTGGGCGGCCCCCGAGTTGTTGGCCCCCATGCCAGTCTGAAGAGCTCCGCCGTCCTCAAAGGACAGCCCGACTCGCCAGTTGAGCGGCAGGACCATGAGCCTGCTCTGGCTGTTGTGCAAAACCTCCTGCACGGCGGGACTCTGGAACTCGCTGTCGACGAGTCGCCGGAAGCCGTTGACGGCGTGTGTAAAGTGATAGCTCTCAACCCTCTCGGCAATCTTTTGGCCGATTCCGTGGGCCACCAGCACCAGATCCGTCACCTTGCTGCGGTCCTTCTCCGCCTCGCAGGCAGGGCAAGTGTCTGGTGCGCTGCCGTGGGCCGTCGACTTGGTGGGCTGCGTCTTCTTTCTGCGGTGCAGGCGCTCCCAGCTCAGTCGGTCAAATCCCCGAACGACTGGGATGCCAACCGTCACGCCCTTCATGATCTTGAGAATGGGCCGCCTGTTGTAGTAGGAAGACGGCTGGAGGCTCGGCTTGAGCAGGAAGGCGTTTGCTCGATCCTTGTATATGACACTGTAGCTCGAATAGGCGCGCTGGTGGTGGTGATTCTCGTGAGCCTCGTCGTCTAATTTGGGAGGCTCCATGTAGCCCTCTGTGGCAGCTTCGCCCTGGAAGCAGTGAGATGCACAGAATGGATGCGCAGAGATGGCGGGCTCGGTCGGCACAGGCGTGTTTCGGTACAGCCCTTCGCCTTCCTTGGGCCACAACCGATAGGATACCTTTTCCTCTCCCGACGCCCCAACATCGATGGCACACCGTAGTTCATCGCTCCAAGTCTCGGTCCAGGGGCGCAGCTCCTGGTATCCGATTTCGAGCTGGTTGGCCACGGCCGCCGAGACCGGCATCATGGTGTCTCTGCGGGCAGGTTAGGTTACGAAAAAGGGACAGAGAGAGAGACAGAGGGTCCAGTCTGGAAACGTACTTGTAGAACCACGTCCCCCTCGTCACGACGGCGACGTCGTTGATGGGGGACCAGTACACGGGCTTCATCTGCAGTGTGTGCAAGCAGACCTTGTGCAGTCTTGCCAGTCCAACCACGACATCCTGATCCTCATCCTCGAGGTCCGGAGCGGTGGTCTCTACGGGTATTGGCTGCTCTACCGGAATCTCACCCTCTGCCTCGGTGACTACATCATTAAGCTGTGGTGATTCCAAGGGTGGCTCGTCACTACGCTCTTGCTGCTGCTGCTGCTGCGGCCGTTTTGGGGACGTGATTTGCGATGCTTGTTCTGTACTCGGTACCCGCACGAAGGGTTTGCCAGTGATGCCATGGTCGTTTGCATCCACGAACCCAGCGGCCTTGCGCTGAACAGAGGCGCCGTCGGATGGGATGCCGGCCTGTCTCTCGCGGGCCAGCAGGGGGTGGCGTATGGGGACATGCCGGCGGGGGCTTGGAACGTCTCGAAGCTGGTGAGACCGGTTCATGACGGCGGTCACGTCCTTGACCACCTCGTCGACGTCAAACAGACGGTTCGTCTTCCTCACCAACGAGCAGAAGGCCGTGTCGAGTTCCGTCAGGGCGTCGGCAGCGAGGTCGGAGCAGCAGGCGGTCAGCAGAGTCTCTGGAATCGCCGCCGCCTCGGCCACTTCCGTTGTTGAATTCCGCATCTGCTTCTTCTTCTCGCTGTGGAGGCGCCTGTGCTTCGAGGCGAGCTTCCGGATGAGCAGGCCGCGCTTGTCCAGGTCGGACTTGACAGTGTCCGGCGCCGGCTCTCGACCGCTTCTGAGGTCGGCGTGCTGGACCCGGTGGCTCTCCGACGAGAGGCCGAGCCAGGCCTGCTGCAGCATGTCGTTGTCATCGTGGGAGAAGGGGCGGAGCGGCGCCTTGGAGGGCTTCGCGTCGGCGGCGCTGGCGGGCGCGCTGCCGGACAGCGGATCGTCGATGGGATAGATGGCCGTGTAGAAGAACTGGGCGGTGACGGCGGGCACTCCGTCCTCCTTGTCCGCGTCCGGGTCCGCGTCGGGCGCCGGCCGGAGGCGACAAGCAGGGCCTAGCGAGTGCTCCATGGAGGCGCAGACACGGAGGCATCTAGTATGTACTCGTAGTCTATGGGGGATTCGAGGTCGGGGAGCGAGGGCCTGCACCTGTGACAGCGCCTGTGACAGTGCCTGTGAAAGCGCCTGTGCCTACCTAGGTATGCAGACGTGATAGGGCAGGGTCAGAGGAGAGACGAAAGCGGTCGGCACTCGCCATGGGGGAGGGGGGAGCCTCGTCAGCAGTGCCATAAGGCGGCCATGGGGAGAAGCTGATGATGCGAGAGCATAATGACAACAAAAAGGCGTCGTCGGGTCAAAAGGAGTTGAAAGGCGGATTGCCATCCTAGCGCGACGAAGCAGCACATGGGGCCAAAGGGAGCTGCGTGCGAGTGGCTGCTATGACGTGGCTGACTTTGTCAGTGTCAGTTACAGTTACTACTACTATAATAGTAGTAGTATAGCTGTATGCAGGCAGGCAGACAGCGGCTGTTCTTTCGGTACCTACTAGGTAGGTATGTAGTGGCAGTACCTAAGGTATTACCCCAGTGACTTGTGCTGCGTGAGAGGTACTAGTCCATGGCAGCATCACTGCAGCAACTGAAAACTGGAAAATCCGCATTCATCGTATACAAGGTGCTACTGTGTTATCTCTCGTCAAACATTCACCATGGCATCCTCACGATGCCCGCAAATACGGAAGCAGGACCAGCTTCATCCGAGGTACGGAGTACTACCTACTAGGTACCTACCTATCATCACAACACCATCAGGTGCATCCCCGCTTATGTCATTCCGATCGGCGCTAAGCCCTTCGGGATCTCGTCCGATGGCCCAGGCGCTGCAACTGTCTTGTGACACCTGAGCAGCTGCTGCATGATAAGCAGGGGCTCGTCTCTTTGTCCCCTACAGCACCTCACAGAGACAGTACCTTAAGGTACCTAATCCGGGGCGCAGCTGCGGCTCCATTTCCCATTTCCATTTCCATTCCCATTTCATCTCCATCTTCATTCATCCATTCATCTCCATCTATCCCTCGTCTACTCTCCTTTCTCTTTGTTTCTTTCTGTCTGTCTTTTTTCCATCTGCATCACCGTCACCATCATCATCACCATCATTATCACGTCTGGACCAGATAGACACTCTCATCAAAACATCAGGAGATCCCATCACCTCCAGCCGCGTGTCACCCCAAGATGGCCATCTCCCGGGGCACCGTTCCCTTTCTCGTGGCCATGATGCTGCTGACGGGCGTCTGCAACACATTGGTCACCAAATACCAGGTGCGTTCTGCCTGCGGCATCTCGAGGGACGGACTGCTTGATGCAACACACGTCTAACGCGGCAGCACCAAACTGACTTGACAACCCGTGCAGGACAAGCAATGTGTTCGCAACTGCGAGGACGAGAATTCCGCCCACCGAATCTACTTCAACCAGCCCGTGCTGCAGACGGCCCAGATGTTTGTCGGCGAGATGGGCTGCTGGCTCGTCGTCGGCATTTCCGCAGCCTACCGCCGCATCGCAGCCAGGCGATCGCCCGCAGAGCGCGGCTACCGAGCCATCAACTCGAGCCGCGCAGACGACGAAGACGACGACACAATCGACGACGGCCCGCCATCCGTCCTGCGAGGCTACCGAGTCCTGCTGCTGGCCCTGCCCGCCATCTGCGACATCTGCGGCACCACCCTGATGAACATTGGCCTGCTCCTCGTCGCGGCGTCCATCTACCAGATGACCAGAGGCGCACTAGTTTTATTCGTGGGTCTGTTTAGCGTCGTCTTTTTGCGGAAGACGCTGCATCTCTTCCAGTGGATCTCCCTAGTTGGCGTCGTCCTTGGTGTGGCCGTTGTTGGGCTTGCGGGCGCCATCTGGCCCGACGTCAAGGCCAACCTCGTCTCCAGGGGCCTGTCTGCCATTACCGACTCTCCAGATGGCCTCTCCGACGTGGCCAAGGCCATTATCGGCGTCGTCTTGATTGCCGGTGCGCAAATCTTCACCGCTACCCAGTTTGTCCTGGAGGAGTGGATGCTCGAGAACTCGCCCATTGACCCCATCCAGGTGGTTGGCTGGGAGGGCCTCTTTGGCTTGGTCACCACGGTCGTCGTCATGATTGTCCTGCACTTGGCCATTGGCCGGACCGAGGCTGGCCGGTACGGCTACTTTGATGCCGCCGAGGGACTCCGTCAGATGTGGCACGAGAAGGCGCTGCTTGTGTCGAGCGTGGTGATTATGATTAGCATTGGGTAAGTTGGGGTCGCCGTTCCATAACCTATTGAATCATGGGGAACAGAAGCGACTAACATGCTCAATAGCGGCTTCAACTTTTTCGGGCTCTCCGTGACCCGGACCGTCAGCGCCACGTCTCGCTCCACCATTGATACGTGCAGGACGCTCTTCATCTGGGTCGTGTCCCTCGGCCTCGGGTGGGAGTCGTTCAAATGGCTGCAGATTGTCGGCTTCGCCCTGCTGGTGTACTCTACCTTTTTGTTCAACGGCATCGTCCAGCCGCCCTTTGAGTTTCTGCGCATCGAGGAAGAGACGGAGGAGCTTCTGCCCGAGGAGCCTATTGAGCATCTGTAAGACGTGGTGCACGATGAATTCCGGCAAAGTGTCGCAACTAGGACTGGTATTTGCACAATATGATGGGGGTTTCTGGCGTACCGGCAATGGCTGGGTGAATTGGGATACGGAGTGTTTCTCGTTTGCAATGTACAACATGGTTTATGGTATCGCATTTGGATCATGTAGGGGAGCAAGCATTAACTACTAGGTAATAGATGTGGTGTCTAATTCGTGCCTTGATCTCGTCACTTTAGCCTAGTGATGCTCTGCTCTCTGGTTTCAAGGTGATGCATGAGGTTCATGTAACTGAAGAAGGCCTGTTGAAGCTAATCGAGGAGCAAAACCTCATAGAGGACGCAGCACCTTGGAAAGAAGAAGAAGCTCTCGGCAGTAGAAAAATCATGTATGCAAAAGTAGGCCAAATAAAACAGAACAAAACACAATCCAATGACAACTCCTCAAGAAAACAACACAAAGACAATGCAAAGACAGCTCCTCAAGAAAACAACATGCTCAAAGCGAACTCGAAAACCGTTGCCAATGATGAAAAAACCAATGTATACAAAGAAAGAAGCCCATGGGAGAAACTCAAGCAACGTTGCACAGCAGCTCGGCCTCGAGGATAAACTTGCCCTCCTTGTACTTCTCAGACGCCTCAAAGGCCTTGTCGTACTTCCAGCCGACCGTCTCCTTGCACTGGTGGCACGTGATGTCGCGGACAATGTGGCGGCCCGTCGTCATGTTGCGCTCATTGGGGTCGCCGGTGTCGATGTTGACGACGCGGTGGAAGAGGTAGGCCTTGCCGTGCTGGCCGCGGAAGTTCTGTGCTCCTCTCCTGTGTGGTTAGTTGGGATGCTTTCTCACCCGGATGGATGACACGAGGGTTGTATGCGTGTGTGGAGAGAGAGAGAGGGGGGGGGGAGAGAAGAGAGAGAGACAAAAAGCAAGGGTTACCACAAGTTTGATGTGGTGTGAATGAGAGATGGGAGATGACGGGAGTTTCAAGGTATTTCGTGAGGGTAAACAGGTCACACGCACCCGGGAAATAATGTCCTCGTGGTTGGCAAGATGCGCCTTGCACGTCTTGCACCCGTAGATCTTGTTGCTGGTCAGATAGGTGTTATACGCCAGGCCCATTGCTGCGAATGTCCCAATAGCGATGCCTCTTGTGCCCTTTTTTTTTCTTTCCCCGTTTCCTCCCTCTTTTCTTTAGGCCTGTTTTTCTTCTTCTTCTGTTTTCTGATTCTTCTGAGCCTTGATGAAGCTCCTCCGTTGGATGACGCTTTTTAGAGATGGCGGGTACGTCGGAGAGAATCGAATGTCACAAGTACGTCGTTCGCGGGACCCTCTTGGCTGTGATCAATCCAGGCTACTAAGATAAGAAAAGACGGGGAAAGACGGTGGGAGGAGGGGCGGTTGGATGCTGTTTATACGGTAGATAGGCTAGAAATAGTGACGAGTGGGTGCCTGAGAGACGGGGAGAGGAGGAGCTGCTGCCTGATGTGATGGAATCAGTCGACAAGTTGCTGTGCAAGAGAGCGAGAGAGTCGGTAGAGCGAGGAAATAATGAGTAAAGTGAGTGTGAGCGTGAGAAGTGAGTGAGTGAGTGGATGAGTTTGTAGAATAAGGTACCTATGTATGAGTGACTAGTCAGAGGGAATGCAGTCACCGGATCAAGAAGGAGGACGAGAGCGGCCGACCTTTTTCCGGGGCGACAAAAGACGGCGGCGGTGCTTTGCCTGTCAATACTACCTTACAGGAGGTACCTGTATTTATTTGGGCTGTTCATCTGCTGTTGCAAGATGACAGTTACTGGGATCGGTGAGAGATGTTTACCTTCGTTGCCTAAAGAGCAGGGATATATATATTTTATAAGAGTCATTCTTCATTCATTGCGTAATCATGCTCGCCCGCCGTCATCTGCTAAGAGGGTTCAAAGAGGCCAGCCTTGGCCGTTTTTGGTGCTGTGGCTGGGACGGGCACATGTCGCTGCTTGCAACCACACGAGAATGACACACACAAGTACTACCAAGGTATAACCGACGAGACATTGACATTGGCATTGACATTGACATTAACTGAATAGGTTTATATGCTTGTAATTGGCGAAATTCTCATCAATCTGCCAGAAATCTCCTCTCTGGTCAGTCATTCGGTATCATGATATACAATTGACAAATAGATAATACTGCCTTTATCACCCATTTAGACAACAAACATATAAGGTATCCATCTTCATCATCGTCACCACCATCATCATCACCACCACCACCATCATGAGTAGCCCTTGGCCAGAGACCAAAAACTGTCCATCTTTGCCCGGGCCAGCACCTCCCGCGCCTCTGCGTCCGTCTCGCAAATCTTGCTGCCCCATTTCTTGAACGCCCTCGCCTTCTGCTCTCCCTCAAAAATGAGCTTGCACTCGTTGGTCGACATGTCCTTGAGCTCCCCGTTGGCGTCCTCTGGCGACAGCCACTCGCGCCCGCCTGCGCTGGCCTTCTCCGGGTCCCTCGCCTGCGCGTTCTCCGTCCAGTTGATGCGGTTCAGCATGAGCTTCTTGTACTTCTTGATGCTCCACTGCCCGCCCTCCACAATCACCAGGCTGAACTTGGGATGCATGATGCACGTCCCCGTGAGCGCCAGCTGGTCGGCGTTGCGCCAAATCTTGTACCGGTGCTGCCCGTTGGCGAGGCTCGTAATCTTGAAGACGAGGACGTAGATGCCCTTGTCGGCGTCCTTTTGCTGGTTCGCCGCCACTTTCTCGTGCTTTTGCTCCTTTGTCAGCTTGCGCGCCTCGTTGGCCTCGATGTGGTGCTCGTATCGCTCGGCAATCTCTCGGTTGACTCGCGCCTCGACGGCGGTAGGATCTTTGACGGCAGCTGTGACGGAAACAAGTTAGCAGACATGGCACATGGCCAGATAGAGAGAGAAAAGGGAAACATACCATCACCCAACACTCGCATGAGGTTCCCCTTCTTCACCTTGGGCGGCGGCGCGGGCACCAGTCCGAGTCGAATCTTTGCCTGCATCTCCTTGAGCTCCGCCATTCTCCGCTGGCGGCGTATCTTGGCCTGCTCCTTGGACGTCAGGTACATTGGCTTCGTCGGCACCGGACGTCGTTCCTGGGGGGGCTCGAGCGCAACCGGATGCTGAATGTATTCCGTCACGATGCTGTCGGGGGTCGTAATCTTGAGCTTCGAGGGGTCTTCAATCACGTCGTAGGATGATCCGTCCACTAGTCCTTCGTCCCACCACTCCAACGCCGGGGGAGCGTCCACGACAAAGTTCTTCTCCACGTCCAGGTCCTCGTCGATGCCTGCTCTCCGCGTCTGCTCCGCAATGCGCCGCTTCATGGCCTCGAGGGCCGCCTGACGACGCAAGGCATTGCCCTGCTGTATGTATTTTCCCTTTTGGTTAAACGCCAGCTGTCGAGGCATCCGCTGCCTCCCTGCCGGCTCTTGGGCGGCGGCCTTTTCGTCAAAGTAAGGGTTCGGCCCATCTCGCAGCTGCTTCCCGTGCGCGCCTTGCGAGCTGCCGCCCCTGTTGTCGAGTCCGTTCGCGCGCGACGGAGAGCCTCGCGACGAGCGAGACTGGCCGTTGGTCGAGGAGTCTGATTTGCCAGCCGGCTTCCACGAGCCCAGGTCCTCCAAGGCGGGATGCAGTCCGACGTTGAGCCCTCCCTTTGCCTTGCTCGTGCCGATGGCGGCGGCCACGCGCGCCTTGAGCGCAGCCATTCGGTCGGCGGCAGAGTCCGGCTTCTGTATCCGCGACGAGGCATCGTGGCGGGGGCTGAGGCCACCCGGCGACTGCTGCTGATGGCTCATGACGCGCGGTAGCTACCTTGCTGCTTCGATCTGTGGCAGAACTAAGGTACCTATGCTATGCGTGCATGGGGCGACAGTGAATGAATGTCGTAGATGTATGATGTAGGTAGGTAGAGACCGAGCCTGAGCCGTAGGAGTCTCTTTTTGTTTCTTTCGAGCTCGTTCGTGTCTCGCTTCGTTTCGTCTTCCGTTTCGTTCTTCCGTTCCGCGCTTCGGTTGTGTGTGGGTGAAGAGGTGAGAAGGTCTTCTTCTTCTTCAGCAGCAGCAGCACCTTGAGGGCTGATGGTGCTCTTCTCAGATCTGGCTCAGATTTCGCAGCCTCGTGGGGGAGATCGATTGGATGCGGTAGAGCGGGAGAGCAGGAGCCTCCACAGAAGCTGAAGTGACTGCCACACAAATGCAACTGATACAACAACAACAACAACAACAGAGAAAAGAATCTTTGATTTCCCAACCTTGAGCTCTGCCAACTTCTTTTCCCCTCTCTATTTCGTCTGCAATCTGGTCGTCTATCTAGTATCATCAGCCCGATTGCATCTCGATTACTACTATCAACAGGTTCCAGTTCCAGTGGGGACACACGCCATGCCGCCCACCAGCAGGCCTAAAATTCTGCCATGGTCCACCGCCAAAAAATTCTAGTGGCGCCAGCAGCTCTCGCCAACGCCCGCCAGTTTGCTGTAAAACACTGGCATGGCCGCTCGACGACGAGGCTCGCCAGGATCGATCAATTGCCCGTCCCCGATCCCGAATTCGCCATGAATATCGCGCAGCCGGTTGCCTCCGAGGTGGAGAGCGTCGAGTTCACCTTCCTCTCCGCCAAGGAGATCCAGGCCATCTCCGTCAAGCGCATCGAGAACGAGAGCACCTTTGACAACCTGCTCAACCCGGTGCCCGGCGGCCTGTACGATCCGGCTCTGGGATCATGGGGCGACGCACCGTGAGTACCTTCCTTGGCCGGCCTCTGTCCAAGAGGGGGGCAGGGGCTCGTGAATTGCTTTGGTGACATGGCTTCCAAGCTTCTAACCGTCATGCCAGATGCGCTACCTGCAACCTGAACCAGAACAACTGCCCGGGACATCCAGGCCACATCCAGCTGCCGGTCCCCGTATATCACCCGGTCTTCCTTGACCAGGCCTACCGATTACTGCGAGCGACGTGCGTCTACTGCAAGGGCTTCCGTCTGCCTCCCAAGGACCTACACAAATACACCTGTCAGCTGCGCCTCCTGCACCATGGCCTGATACACGAAGCACACATGGTGGCCACCATTGGCGAGAACGACCTGGCCGTGGAGATACGAGAGGCTATTGGTGAGGGAGACAGCGAGGCCGAGGAGGACAACTCTGGCTCGGATGGCGTGACTCGACAGCGAGAAAAGTACGTCCGCCAATGCCTCCAGGGCATCAAGATGAAGAGGGGCGAGGCCAAGAAGGGCAAGCATGAGGGCGCCACCGAGATGCGCCGCGAAATTATCAAGGAGTTCCTCGCCGATATCATCAAGAAGCGCGAGTGCTCCAGCTGTGGAGGCATTTCCCCGACCTACCGAAAGGATCGGTTTGTCAAGATCTTTGAAAAGGCTCTCTCGTCAAAAGAAAAGGCAAAGATGGCGCAGAAGGCGCTCAAGTTTGGCGACGCCATGACACGAGTACATCACCATCGCAGGGCGATGACAAAGAAGCCCAACGGGCACGCTATCCAGACGAATGGCTCCGGGAACGCGCCCGCTTCGGAGACACAGGATGTCGAGATGGGAGACGCAGACCACTACGACGACGACGACGATGACGATGATATTCCAGAAGAGGGCGCCCAGAGATACATTAGCTCCATGGAAGTGCGGGCGAGACTGGAGGAATTGTTCAGGAAAGAGCAGGATCTTCTCTCACTCGTATACAATGCCAAGCCTCCGACGCAGAGCTCACAGAAGGTCACTCCCGACATGTTCTTCATCACAGTCGTCCTGGTGCCGCCGAACCGATTCCGACCAGAGGCCCGCACGGGAGACTCGCAAATCTCCGAAGCCCAGCAAAACGCCCTCTACAAGAACATCTTGGGTTGCTGCTCAAGAATTGCCCGTGTCTACAAGGGCCTGGAGGAAAAGACGTCGGACATGGCGAGCATGCATCAGGCCTGGACGGAGCTTCAGGACGCAGTCAACTCGCTCATCGACAAGAACAAGAACCCTGTTCAAGGCGCCGCCGCCGCGCGAACCGAAGACGGAATCAAGCAGTTGCTCGAGAAGAAGGAGGGTCTTTTCCGCAAGAATATGATGGGAAAGCGTGTCAACTACGCTGCGCGAAGTGTCATCTCCCCCGACCCCAACATCGAGACCAACGAGATTGGTGTCCCCCCGGTGTTTGCCAAGAAGTTGACCTATCCCGAGCCCGTTACTAGTCATAACTTCAAGGATATGCAGCAGGCGGTGATCAACGGCGTCGACAAGTGGCCCGGCGCCTTTGCCATTGAGAACGAAAATGGCCAGATTGTCAACCTGCGCAACAAGTCTGTCGACGACCGCATCTCTCTCGCGAACCAGCTGCTGGCGCCCACCAACAGCAACTCGGCGCGCACGAGGAACAAGAAGGTCCACCGGCACCTCACCAACGGCGACGTCGTCCTGATGAACCGCCAGCCCACGCTGCACAAGCCGTCCATCATGGGCCACCGGGTCCGCGTCCTGCCCGGCGAGAAGACGATTCGCATGCACTACGCCAACTGCAACACGTACAATGCCGACTTTGACGGCGACGAGATGAACATGCACTTCCCGCAGAACGAGGTCGCCCGCGTCGAGGCCCTGCAGATTGCCGACACCGACCACCAGTACCTGTCGGGTACCGCGGGAAAGCCCCTGAGAGGTCTGATCCAGGATCACATCTCCGTGTCCGTCGCCCTCTGCAGCCGCGACACCTTCTTCAACCGCAGCGACTTCCAGCAGCTCATCTACAGCGCCCTCCGTCCCGAGAGCGGCCACATTCTTGGGGAGCGGATCCAGCTGCCGCCGCCCGCCATCATCAAGCCGGCGCCCCGGTGGACGGGCAAGCAGGTCATCAGCACAATCCTGGCCAACATGAGGCCGCCCAACTGCGGAGGCCTGACCATGTCTGAAAACGCCCAGCTCAAGGCCGAGCAATGGGGCGCCGGGTCGGAGGAGGGCGTCGTGCTGATACAGGATGGCGAGTTCATAACGGGAATCCTCGACAAGTCTCAGATCGGACCCAGCTCAAGCGGTATGATACACGCCGTGCACGAAATCTACGGACCCGCCATCGCCGGCAAGCTGCTCAGTGCCCTGGGTCGGCTGCTCACAAGATACCTCGGCATGCGAGCCTTTTCCTGTGGAATGGACGACCTGAGGCTGACGGCGGAGGGAGAGGCGGCGCGACGGCGAGAGCTCCTCGCGGCCGACAAGCTGGGGCTCAAGATTGCGTCGAGCTACGTCTCGCTGGAAAACCAAGAGGACGCCCAGAACCCGCTGCTGCTGGAGCGCCTCGAGGAGGTCATGCGCGACGACAGCAAGCAGGAGGGTCTCGATTTGCTCATGAACCAGGGCTCAAAGGACATTACGGACGCGGTACAAAAGGCCCTGATCCCCAACGGCCTCGAGAAGAACTTCCCCAAGAACCAGATGCAGGTCATGACCACTTCCGGTGCCAAGGGATCCCGTGTCAACGCGTCCCTCATCTCTTGTAACCTGGGACAGCAGGTTCTGGAGGGTAGGCGTGTGCCGGTCATGGTGAGCGGCAAGACGCTGCCCAGCTTCCGGCCATTCGATACCAACATTCGGGCGGGCGGCTACATTGTCAACCGATTCTTGACGGGTATCCGGCCACAGGAGTACTACTTCCATCACATGGCCGGACGAGAGGGTCTGATTGACACGGCCGTGAAGACATCGCGTTCAGGCTACCTGCAGCGCTGCATCATCAAGGGAATGGAGGGTCTGACGGTCAACTACGACACATCCGTGAGGGACGCGGACGGCTCGCTGATCCAGTTCCTCTATGGTGAGGACGGACTGGACGTCACGAAGCAAAACTACCTAAAGGACTTCCGGTTCATCCTGCAAAACGTCACCTCAGAGGCGGCGCAGCTCAAGTACGACCCCAAGGTCGGCGAGCGCCTGGGCGCCAACCGCCAGGCGTTCCAAAAGTACATGAAGAGCGCCGTGCGCCACGCCAAGGCCGGAGACCGGAAAGGAAAGGATCCCCTGACGGCCAGCTTCGATCCGGCCACCAACGCCTTTGCCACTTCCGAGACGTTCTACGAGGCCATGACGGACTACATCCGGGAGAACCCCGACGGGCTCGTGCGGGAGAAGAACAGCCAGGACAAGGCGCCTCTCCAGCAGAAGGTGACGCTCAACAAGAAGAACGCGGAGATGCTCTTCGCCATGAAGTACCTGCGGTCGCTGGTCGAGCCCGGAGAGGCCGTGGGCATCGTCGCCGGCCAGTCCGTGGGCGAGCCGTCGACGCAGATGACGCTCAACACCTTCCACTTGGCCGGCCACTCGGCCAAGAACGTGACGCTGGGTATCCCCCGTCTGAGAGAAATCCTGATGACGGCCAGCAGGACGATTTCCACGCCCGCAATGACGCTGTATCCCAACCCCGAGCTGTCCCAGCACGACACGGAAATCTTTGCCAAGTCCATCAGCGTGCTGCGGTTGAGCCAGGTGCTGGACGGCATCGTGGTGGAGGAATTGGTGGGCAAGGGCAAGCTGCGCGGCCTCGCCAAGATCTACAAGATCAAGCTCAAGTTCTTCCCCGGCTCCGAGTATTCCAGCACGTATGCCGTCACCGTCTCGGACATTATGACGACGGTGGAGAAGAAGCTGCTGCGCAACATCCTGTCCATCCTGAAGCGAGAGGTCAAGAAGCGGCAGAGCCAGTCGACGACGGCGACTCCCGAGGTTGGCGTCAAAGCAGGCGTTGTCGAGACGGCCAGGCCGGAGGGAGCAGCGGAGGGCGGCCGGGACGACGATGACGATGCCGACGAGGATGACGACGACGACGCCACCGGTGCCAAGAACCGAGCGAACCGGAGCGAGGCCGTCTCCTACGGACCCAATGACGAGGATGACGATGCGATCCAAAAGGACCTATCCAAGGGGGCAGAGTACGATGTGTCAGACGACGACGACGACGACGAAGAGGCAGCAGCAGCAGCAGCATCATCATCATCATCACGAAGGAAGAAGGAAGACGATGATGAAGATGAGGGTGATGACGAAGGCGACGAGACCAAGGCCCCTCAGTCATGGTCGGCCAAGCTGCGGACGGAGCGCGTGCTCAACGCGTACGCCGAGGTGACGGACTTCCAGTGCGACGACCGGGGCGGCGAGTGGTGCAACGTGACGCTCGAGTTCGACGTCAACATCCCCAAGGTGCTGATGCTCAACATTGTCGAGGACGCGGTGCGGCAGACGGTGGTGCAGCAGGTGGCGGGCGTGGAGTCGTGCCTGGTGTCGCAGGAGAAGGGCCAGACGGTCATCAACACGACGGGCGTCAACCTGCGGGCGATGCAGCGCTACAGCGACTTCATCGACCCGCACCGCATCCAGACCAACGACATCGCCGCCGTGCTCGACGTCTACGGCGTCGAGGCGTGCCGCGGCAACATCGTGCAGGAGCTGTCGGGCGTCTTTGGCGGCCACGGCATCAAGGTCGACAACCGCCACCTCAACCTCATTGCCGACCACATGACGCGCAACGGCGACTTCACGGCCTTTAGCCGCATGGGCCTGCGCGGCAACGTCAGCCCCTTTACCAAGATGAGCTTCGAGACGACGCTCGGCTTCCTCAAGGACGCCCTCATGGACGGCGACTGGGACGACCTGACGACGCCCAGCAGCCGCCTCGTCATGGGCAAGCTGGGCCGGGTCGGCACCGGCGGCTTCGACGTCTTGACGCAGCTTCCGACGTACTATGTGAATGCGCTGGCATAAGAAGAAAAAAGAAAGAAAAGAAAAAAGGTTAGAGATGGAGATGATGATCCATGGAGGGAGAGAGAGAGGGGGGGGGAATGGAGATGATATGTCGCTGTATGAATTGCTCACTGTATTTAATCATGGAGAATGTAGACTAGGCCTAGGATTTTTTCAAGTAACAAAAAAAGCAAATGGTACTCTGGAGACGGTTCAATCAACTTGTGGAGATGAATGTCGACGATGTGATGGACCAAAGTCGTGGTGAAGCGAGACCAAATCTATAGTACTCGACACCATGGCTGGGTTGCTGGTCAAGACACCTGTTGAACTATTACCATCTACAGAGTCAGTTCAAGGCTCGTGTCATGCATTTGCAGACAACAATTCGAGGGACATCCCGGAAAAATCACGATGAGCCGGACAAGTGCATTAGGTAGTGCTGGCAATGGAGTCACTACACGGTCACGACTTGGGAGACAAAGGATGCAGGCATCGCGTCAGTGCTGGGAGCGCGTCCTTTTTGCCGTTGCTGCCTAATCCCGGCAGAGGCGATGGCGCGATTCTACGGTCACGGGCGCGAAGCCAAAAGGAGACATGGGTAAGGATAGACATCACAGGCGAAGATGGACGCGTTGATTTTTCAAAGATTGTGAAAACTAGAGGCCGTGAAAGCCTCGTTTCGCATTGATGCAGTGCGTTTATTCCCTGAAACTGCACTGGTAATATACATTCCGAACCATAATGGGGAATAGTAAAGCAGGTTAAAAAAACATCTCATTTGTGAACGCCTTGATTATCCCTTTGTGACCCCAGAAACACTCATTGTGATGAAAAGCAGAAAGTCATGACCCTCAACGTCCGTTGTATCCCCTTCCCAGAAGTTGGTGAAAACAAAGTCATCGCTGGGCTTCGCTTAGTTGCGCTCACCGCGGAGGCGGCGGGCGAGCTGGATGTCCTTGGACTGGATGGTGACACGCTTGGCGTGGATGGCGCACAGGTTGGTGTCCTCGAAGAGGGAGACGAGGTAGGACTCGACAGACTCCTGGAGGGCGCCGATGGCGGACGACTGGAAGCGGAGGTCGCTCTTGAAGTCCTGGGCGATTTCACGGACCTGTTGACGATGGAGAGTTAGCGGATGTTTGATGTCTAATGATGACGGCGATGATGCCTTGTGATGATGATGGTGGTGATGCTTACCAGACGCTGGAAGGGGAGCTTGCGGATCAGGAGCTCAGTCGACTTCTGGTATCGTCGAATCTCACGGAGAGCGACGGTACCGGGCTTGTAACGGTGAGGCTTCTTGACACCTCCGGTGGAGGGAGCGCTCTTGCGGGCAGCCTTGGAGGCAAGCTGCTTGCGGGGAGCCTTGCCACCAGTGGACTTGCGGGCGGTCTGCTTGGTGCGGGCCATTGTGAATGATGATGTGTGATTGTTTGGTGTTGTTGTTTGTAGTGATGAAACTGTGGTGGGGAAGAAGGGCGAGAAAAAGATGGGCGATGCAGAAAGGAGAAATTCCGGACTTGCGGGCGGGGGGCAGGAGCTTTAATAGTTGAGCCTAGCGCCAGGCTGCGGTGGCGGCTGATCTGGGATTGCGCGGTGGACCGTGCGTTGTCTCTTGCTCTCTTTTTTTTGGCGCGTTTTGGGGTTGGTGGAGGGGGATAAAGAAAATAAAAAATACGTGCGGGAGGCAGGTGCTGTGCAGCAGCGATAGAGAAAAAAAAAAATAGGGCGCTTTAGCGCTGTTCTGTCTCGCTTTTTTCTGGCTGCCCCACCCAGTCCTCCGTTCCTTCTTTGCTTCCTTTCTTTCTTTGTGTGGAACGCTGGGATGGATCCACTTTCTGATGCAAGGCGAAGGGAAAATGAGGGAAATGCAGGTGGCTGCTGCGTTTGCTTTTTTCTGATTGGCTAATGGGCGGCATGTTTTTTTCCACGGTTGCGGTTTAGGCTCGATTTGCGAGGTGCTTGCGGTACTACATGCGATGCGGTACCTACTTCTGTGCCTGAGGGGGGCGAGGGAAGCATCTCGGCTTACCCTGGATGCACGATGCGAGATCTATATTGAAAGGTCTTGTGACATGATGTGGCTTTGCGGGGATGCGTATGTTCTTTTAAGAGGTCAAGCATTGTGATGCACGTAGTAGTAGTATTGGATTTTCGTGTTTCGTTCGTTGCGGTGTTGTTTGGATGTATGGTGTTTATTTTACTATATCTCATTAATTTGTGTATGCCTCAACTACATGAACTCAAGACCTCAATACCTGCAACTAAGCATGTGTGAGATACAAGAGTTATGTGATATTGCAGAATATGCTATAACTAGCAATGCTGTATGCTATCGAGAATATAGTTGAATGCGAAGAATCTATCTGTAACGGATATGAAGAAGCAATAGAGCAACACAACTGCAGGATGCACCCGTACGAGGATTTCACTTAATCAACACCACCTCATCTCATCACCGAGTGCTGGCAATATGCCAGCTCTACATCTTGACAGACTCAAAGAGTATCAATCTGGTACCTTTACGACCAATGGAAATAAGCTCTCCACATGGAAGGAAGCAGAGCAGCCAAGCTACCGGCAGCTCCAACAGACAAGCAGCAGTCACTGACATCATCAACCAAACGATCCAGCTCCTTTACGCTTGCCATCGAGGGCACCTTCCACGAACTACCTATCAACCTCATGTGCCCGAACTGCACCAGACAGAACAAGTCTAGGCTCGTCAAAAAAACAATAAAGTGAGACGCCGTGGTTGGGACGTGTCGACCTTGTTTACCTTGCCTCGTTCCTTCTCCTGTGATGCCCCCCCCACCCGCAACCGCCAACCCGCGCCGGTACGTACCTCCAGCCGCGTCTCGTGTCTGATTGTCCCATTCTCCCCCCCCTCCCTTCCTTTGTCTGACAGTGAATCACTGCGCCAAACCGAAAAAAAAAAAGGAATAAGAAAAAAAAAAAAAAGAGAAACCAAATCAGCCCCACACCCCGATTTTTTTTAGCCGCCTTTCCCTTTTTTTCGCCCTCTATCCGAATCCGATCAGTGATCTGGGCCGCTGCTACTTAAGCTGGCGTGTTGCCACTCCTGGAACCTTCTTCTCCCCTCTTTTATCTGCGACTTTGTCCGTTTATCAAACAACATCTCCATCTGCATCATCTTGCCTTTACGCACATCTCCGTTGATTCCCCAACACCACCACAACCCACATCAACCATCATGACTGGACGTAAGTGACCTTGTCCTCAGCCTTACCATCTGCATCTGCATCTGCATATCTATTTTCACCATCCATCGCCATCCTCCGTGGCTGCGACGCGCTGCATGGCTGTCGCCTGTCGGCTCAGCTCGGCTCAGCTCAGCCTCATGCCTTGACGCGTCTCGCCAGCTTCCACCTACACCACCATCACTACTGCATACACTTAGGTGTTCAACGGTTGACTGACATATCCATCTACAGGCGGCAAGGGCGGCAAGGGCCTCGGCAAGGGTGGTGCCAAGCGTCACCGCAAGATTCTTCGTGACAACATCCAGGGCATTACCAAGCCCGCCATCCGACGTCTCGCTCGTCGTGGTGGTGTCAAGCGTATCTCTGCCAGTAAGCTTCTACCCACATTCAGCTCTATAACAAGCATCATGGCCACAGTCTCTAACCAGCTCTGCAGTGATCTACGAGGAGACCCGAGGTGTCCTCAAGTCCTTCCTCGAGGGTGTCATCCGTGATGCCGTCACATACACCGAGCACGCCAAGCGCAAGACCGTCACATCACTAGACGTTGTCTACGCCCTGAAACGACAGGGCCGCACCCTGTACGGTTTCGGTGGCTAAGCGCTGTGCCACTGCGTCGCTTCGATATCATGTCTTGTTCGCGTGTTTGTTATGATTGGGCTTTCTTCAACTATGGGCGCGGGTCATTGCTTTTTGAGTGTTTTTGTACTGTACAACGTCTACGTACCGGGAAATGGGTGACCTCCGAGAGGGGGACTTATTGAGACTTATTCAGTGGTGGCCTTGAAATACAGCATCACATTATACAAACAACATCTCTTGCATGATTTGTGGATATCGGTTCTCCGACCGTGAAGCGCGTTCAAGTATGTTGTAGACGTGCATGACTCACCGCCCGCTGCGTATCTACCCAGTAGTAGTATCCGGCCAGAGGGGGGAGGCGAATGTTGTGTTGTGTTGTTCCCGTGACGCGTGACGCGTCGATGCTCTCTGAACGCAAACTACCAAGCCGAATACGGAGCTTGTGCGAACAGGCAGACGAGCCTTATGTGTCTGCGTACGAATGCTCGAGGTTGATATCGAGGGCCATGACTCGCTGTATGGTCTCGGCATCACTGCCTACGACCGTCTGTGTGGGTGCAGCTCTTCGGATATGGCATACGTGTTGGATTCTGTATCGGAGTAATGTCTGGATACCTACTAGATGGCTGCAACTTGAACGGATGTTGAACTGCACCGCCCGTGGCGAAATGGGGCCAGACGTGGAGACGCATCACTATCGAATATGCGAAGCCATGCTGGACAGCACATCTACATCTCTTGATGCCGTGTCCGAGCTTCATGTATAGATAGGAACGGATACGCGGTGTTGCAACGGGCAGCACAACGTCAATGCCCAACATCCGAACCCTATAGTATCCATGGTTTCACTATGATGGACCCAATATGATGATGCAGTCAGTCAGTCATGGACAGCGCATTAATGAGAACCGATACAACACGTCCAATAATATATGATGCCATCATCGACAAGGCCTCCAACTCATTCGTCGTGACTCACATGTATCCATTTCTTCTCCTCGAGCAAATACAGTAAGAATCACGGCACTTCATCGGGCTTCTGAATCACAACCTGAATGAACCATGCCAACGATGCAAAAAAAAGACGATGTCCTGGCTCGACCGTGTCATGTGCTCGATCGCTTATGCGCTTCACTGGGTCCCAAGGCTCTCTCTCTCAGGGCTGCCTCTCTCTATCACGATCACGAGCCAAAATGATCCCAGCCAGAAATCGCCCAAGGGAGGGGGGAGAAAAGCGGTTCAGCCGATGGTAGGCGATTGGGTGCTGATGCTGTCAACCTGACGGACTGAATTACTCATACTTGTATCAAAGCAGAGGAAAAGGAGAAGCAACACGCATGGAAGGAGAGGAAGAAAAAAAAAAAAAAGTTGATTGCCGTCCAATGAAGGTGCAGGTCCGGGGTTGTCGACTTTTGGGGAGAATGGACGACCACCTCTCTGTTTACTAGCCTGACACCCCCTCCTCTGCGTCTCTGCGACTCTTGAAGGCCTGAGTCTCGTATCCCTGCACAGCGGAAGGTCGATATAAATCGGGTAAATCGATGTACATAGAGCAAAACCAACGGCGCATGTGTCGGGCATTTGCGAGAATCAAGAGTCGGCAGTGGCATCTTGGCATCCTCACAGCTGAACCAGGGTTGGCTTCATGTTCAAAACTTTTCCATCCGATCTCTTTGGGTTGGTGTAAGGCATTATTACAGGGGGAAGAAGGCAGAGGAGGGAACCTGGAAGCACAGACGCACCTGCCTGCACCTGCATATGCATGCAGTGAGTGCAGGGAGTTGGCAGAAATAGTAGTACTAGGTACCTAGGTGTACCGTATAATAGAAGCCTACCTACTACACCCCCATCTGCAGGGCAAGCTGCAGCTTTTCTTTTTTTTTCTCCCTCTAAAACATGCGCGCTGCTGCGGCTTGTTTCGACGGGCCTGCCGATGCAGAGCGAAAACAGAATCTGAACAAGGAAAATTTTTTCAAGATGCAGAGTAGAGCAGATAGATTCTAGAAAGATGGAAGGATTCTGATATGTGATATGTGATGGATAGGTAGTTCGTTTTCATGTGAAGGTGTATGTACAAGCGAGACTCGAGGCTGTGTTGCTGTCTATTGCATCTCCGTGTCTTGGAATCCCGAAATAAATCCCCTCCACGTGGCAATGACCAGAATGTACAAGATACCTGTACTTTGTACCAGATACCTACTATGAGTGGGAAGCCAAGCTTGGGAATCAAGGTCTAGACCGGATCTGCATCGCGGCGGGTAAAGACGATCCGAGCAGGTGGAGCGAAGCGGCGGCCTTTCCTGCCCCCCATGTGACAGGATTCGAGGTCGAGAGGCGAGACCCGACCCGACCAGACCTTCTGAAGAGCATATGGCCGGAGAAGAAACTCCAGAGGTCTGAGGGAGCAACTGCCGAGGTAAGTCGGGGAGAGCATTGACTGAATCGAGAAAGTCGCTACTCGATTGATTCGAGAATCAAGTCCGAAAGAGAGGGGGATGCATGTCACCAACGAAGAAGAAAGAACCTAGGATCGGTCGGGGGACGCTTAAGCGGCGGCAACGGGGATGGTCTGAGCTGCGACATCGGTATCAGATCTGGCGTCTATGCTCCGTCAAGGTGATGGCTGTAGGCAGTATGCCGGCTCATCGGAGATTCCATCAACAGGGCCGAGACACCTCAAGGC